TTCTGTTAAACCGAAACAGAAAACGATATACCGGTACTTCTATTTCATCTAATTTTTTCCAATGTATATTTTATTCTATAAATATCAATTTTATACGCAGAAACCTCACGTCTTCATAGAATGGAACAATTCATTCGCGGTTTACCACCTCGATTTCGATACATTATTATAATTCGCCGACGTCATAATATTCCATAATTCATAATTTGCAATTATTTAAATCGCGCCACAATACTCAAATCGAATTAATTTGAAACAATTATTAAAATCGCCTTATACTGATTAAAGACGTATTGTTTCCAATTTATAATCATTCGACCTTGCCCTATTAATATATATTGGAAATCGTTAATTGCCAATTTGTTTTAAATTGTCATCGACTGTATTAAAAGCGAAAAGTCGAAGTCAGAAATTGATTTGACCCGATAATCCGAAATTTATCACCACATCGCCGTCCATTTTGCGTCCAATTTTTACAAACAAATTAATTTATTGAGGATGATAAAATAAGCGCCATTTGAGTCAACACTTGTAAACGACACATCGCCGTCCATTTTGCGTCCATTTCCGATATTTTCCGGAGTATAAAAATAGTCGCTCTTCAATCCAGCGCTTGTAAATTTAACTTTGTGGACACGATACATTTGCGTGCCACAATATACAAAACGCCTATAGTTAATTCCTCGCGCTCTATGAGGTGTTATTAATGTAAATTATATTGCCGTACAACACAAGGTCATTACTCTTGTAAGTCGTGTATTGTGTTTTGTAAAACATTCAACGACCCTCATCCGATGCATTTTAAGCTTGTAATTCCTGGAAAGTTTTTGAGCGGATTACCTCGTCGGACGCTCGCTGTTAACAAAAAAATAAAAATACTCGTATTTTAGCGTTAATTTCGCCTAAAATTCAATATTTAGGAACCTAACCATGATTTTGATATACTACGTGTTAATAGCGAACTAAAAGCAGAGAATCCTTAGTTGAAAGTTATATAGAAAAATGCAGTAATTTCACGGCTCTTTTTTTTTCAATTTTTGAAGACGTGGCGAATCGACGCTTTCGTCCGAAACGTACATCCTTCCTAGCACAAGTACCGATAATACACAAAACTTAACGATATTTCCGAACTTGGAATTTATCAACAAACAGAGAACAACAAAACACGTGTTAGGGTATCCGTTAACCAATTCCGCACCTGTCGAAAACGAACCCCGTTTTCTTTCACGCCAGTGCTTGTTTGTTGTTTATTGACGATATTTTTAGGGTGAATAGGGAAAAGGCGTTAGCTTATATCTGTGCAATTTTTTTTATCCAATTCAAATATTGTACAATACCAATCTTACTTAAAAAAACCTGAGCTATTATTTCTAAAATTAACTTCGTTTTGACCCGTTTTCGGTACTTTAGATTGCTTTTGAATCTCATTAAGAATAATTTCTAATCGAAAAAATTGGTTTTTCGGCGTTTTACAAAGCGGCGTTTGGTAGACCCCGGAACAAAGGCTTAATTTGACCGCGGCGCTAATTTGTCGTCTTCATTCGAACATTATACCTATAATAATATACCAAAATGGAAATCGTTTTGTCTTTTTAACCCATAATTATAAATGGTAAATTAGTCAATAATAAGCGTCAAATAAGAATTTGATTTTGAATTTTGTTCATATGTAAGCTAGGCCTTGTTTATAGTATTGCATGTAGAACTGGTACCTGTTGTGCATGTATCATTATAAATAAGCATTCAAAAAAAACAATAATTTAACTTTTAAGTCTAGTCTAATTACGTTCTCGGCTCTAAGCGGTGAAATTGTTAATTAGCGACCTCAGGTCACGTTCTACTCGACGCTTTCAATGTACTGACCGCCAACCCGCGATCATCCGATTAAAATTTCCCTCGGGTAAAAAATGTTTCTGTTGGCGTCAATTTGAATACCAGTAACCAACAATAGCTTGTTGCTATGGTGTTATTTACGTTTTTAGAGTTACTCTGTGTATGTCATTGTCTGTTAACCATGCGTAAGCATGTAAGCATGCCCGTATATTATTCTAACAATATAACTCGCTTTCATTCTTAGAATATGGATCTCAGATATTCTTAGCGGTCGTCAATGATTTTAACAGCCAGGAACCGAAAATTATGAGACAAGACTCACCTACACTTATAAGCAATTCCCTATGGCTAAATGGTAAGTTTTCACTTGAATTGAAATTCGATTTTTTTTTTTGATTAATTGGATTACGAAATGAAGTGGTACCGTATCCTGACAAGAGTTCGTGGTCCGCCATAATTTTGAGCCGTCCTATCGGATTTCATCTCCACGGGATTTTTGATGTATCTGTTTTTGAGTATTTGCTCCCATCTCGGAAGTCTTCATTATTTATTACATTATGCCTCAAGGTTTTCAAAATAAACAGCCTATTAATTGTCAATTATCAACAATGCTAAACTTGTTTTACCTTATCAGATCCAACTTTCTTGAAAATCATTGAATACAAAGACAAGTTTACGTTTTTCTTTCGTGAAGTGGCACAGGAAGGCGAAGTGGAATATGACGACAAAGAAAAGGTATTGTTCTATCATTTGTAACTGTTTTATCTCAACATGCTATTTACTTTGGGTTGATCATTCACTTGTAAATAATATTTAAACCGTATTTATTGTTTCATTTTTGGCGGTGATTAGAAAATCAATCTTAGCTTGGCTGTGTACTATTGCTAGTGTAATAATTTAATGCTTTATTATCTCTTTTATAAGGTAAATTTGCAATAATTTTTGAATTAACAAAGAGTAGTTTCATTCCTTAATTACTTATTAAATGCAATTATTTGCATACTGAAAGCAGAAATGAAACAATATATTTGTTATTAATGATATCATCGAAACCTCTTGCGAGGATACAATTTTTTTTATATTTCACCATAAACAAGGGTTTGTACAAACAGCCATTGCTAGGTGAGAAGCTATGACATTTTGGAAGAGATGTTATCTTTCTGATTCAACATTGCCTACTCAATATATACACTCTTTGGTTAGTTGGTGGACATGAGATTTGAAACCAATGTATTTACGCTCCGAAGCCAACATAGTTAGAACAACGCTAGGCCCAAATTATTTAAAATTATTTTTTATTTTTTAGCTAAATTATTTTTTTTTTTCTATAGGTAGAATTTCATTCAGCTGCTTTTTGAATTGTTATTAAATATCTGACATCTAAATTGGTTCAGGAAAGAATTCTCAAACATATTTATTCCAATTGAACACTTTTCGTACAAATTCGCCTGTTTTGTACTAAATTCTCCTTTTTTGTGTTTTCTCTAGGTTACTCTTGCGAGAGTAGCTCAAGTTTGTAAAAATGATCCTGGTGGAGTGAATATTCTTGCTCAACAGTGGACGTCGTTTCTCAAAGCTCGTCTTCATTGTGGATATCCTAAACGTCAACATCTTCAATTCAGTAACATGACGTCAGTTACAGACATTGTCTCGGTATCTGATGAATCCGGTGAAGAACTAGATGTCGTGTTCGCAACTTTCACTACACCGTGGTAAGTTCATTGATAGATTTGGAAGTTAGTACATAATCAATTAAGGAAGCAGTTGGGGTTAGGGAATTTTATATTTATTTGACCAGTGTCTACGTAAACCACCCTGAAACAGCAATCTTTTCGCACATTAATATACCCATCAGGATTAGGAACTTCAACCCACGAAAAGTTGTGATGGCAAATATACGAAGTACGAAGATATTTGAAATTATTTTTATTAATTCATCATTTTTGTTTTAGGGATTGGCAAGATGCGTCACTATCTGCTGTGTGTGCTTTCTCCATGAAAGATATCATCAAAGTTTTTGAAGAGGGATCATTTGCAGGAGAATACGAACTCACTGCACAACAAGATGTGTAAGTAAAGGAGAAATTAAATACAAATCAATTTGAAAATTTGAACCCAAATATATTCATCTTCATATTCATTTACTTTAAATTACCATAATTTTTTTTTGGGGACATTCCTGCTAAAATTTGCAAGTTTGGGGTTGAAAATTTGAAGAAAAACTTGTTTCATCAATAAAACATTCCTTATTATAACCTTAAATTTTCAATGCTTGTTATTATTACTTATATGAAAAATATATAATTTTTTTCTACAGTGCATCATCTCCTGGAGTTACTGCAACACCAGTACTCAATAGAGCTAATACAATAAAAAGATCATACCCAATTCCTTCCGAAAAAGAACCAGTGCCGAGACCAGGAGGGTAGGTCAATAATTATTCCATTTGAATTCAAAGATTTTATTATGAAGAAGTATAGTGTATAAATGAAGTGTTTCTAAACAGAGCTATGGACTAGTGAAGGAGTCGTTAATTGTGTTGGCATATCTTGTTCAAATTACCTCTAATCTATTTCTATTTTACTTGTTATTATTACTTGTTTATCCATTTTTTCAATGCTCAATTTTCATTCAGATGTTCAAAAACCCACTCACCGAACACATTATACTTTGCAAAAATTCATCCATCCATGTACGATGTCATAGAACCTTATGGATCTGCACCTCTCTTCATTTCATACACTAAGTAAGGACATTTTATATTTTGTAACGAACTTTTTTATGATCACTATGTTTTGTGGATGTATTGGTAATATTTTTTTACGTTTTCATTACAACAGTGTGAGGGCTACTCAAGTTGCCGCTGACAACAATGCTGGTGAGAGTGGAAAACTCATGATATATATCGGTACTGAGGACGGAAATGTTTTACGATTGAGAGGAATGTTATCTTCTGGAAATGTAAGTGTATTTGAAGAATTTTTTTTGAGATTTAGTAATAGTTTGTCTGACTGGTATGGCAGGACCTTTGTCAAGAGATTGTATTGTATAAAGAAAACCATGTTGTGGGAGTAAAAAATTTTGTCAGCTACTCTGCATTTCTTTATTAAATATATTATATGTATAAGTATTAATTTGGCAAATAATTTATACCTTTTCAGGACTGACACTTTAAATTTACAATTTCATATCACCATGCTATTGGGCTATTTTTCTAAAGAAATCAGACTTTGGTCAAATGGAAAATAACAGAAAAATATTTGTGTTCAATGTCACCTTGCCTATGTTAATTATTAATTACTTTTGTGACAGGCACAACGAGCTTTACTGATTGAGAGTGTCAAAGTCAGTAACAAAGAAAAGTGTGAACAAAATGGTTGCGGTGTTCGATCATTACATGTATCTCGACCACCCGTTGGAAGCACAGAATCGAAGCCATCTGCTTTTGTCGCTTTCACGGATCACATGGTTCAGTTCCCTCTCGTTCGATGCAGCATCTATAAATCTAAAGAGTGAGTATTTCGAATTTTTATTCTTTCAACTCAAATCGGAAATTTTTTGTTGGTTTTTGCTCTGAAAAAGTCTGTAGATAATCAGCGCTTTTAATTGTAAAGATAAACTATGATTATGAAAAGACGAGAATCTTTTCAATTTATCATTGCTCATGAAATTATTTTACAATCTGGGTGAGGTGATAGACGAGGGTTCAACCTGGGATTTTCCTTCACAACGCTAACTAAAATGATTAGTCAGTCAATCACCCGTACAGTCATCAATCATTTGTGAACAGAGAATTTTTTACACCAATTAAATACAAGTCTAGTATTACATGTAAATTGCATGTAATGTAAAATATACCAATCATTTTTGTAGGTGCTGCTCTGTTGATCCTGATTGTGGATGGAATGGATACGAAAAATGTGTACAGAGAACCGCACAAAATAAGTATGTATAAATTTATATGCTTCAATCAAACTTGAAAATTTTAGTTGTGAAGCCCTAAATGAATTTTAGCTACTTATTCGAATTATTTTTAGTGGTTCTCATTGCGTAAAGCATTGAAAATCACTGTGGCCACATACCTTGATATTCTGAAAGTATAGTTTTAAATATATTTCTTTTGGCATTAAAACAACTGCAAATAATACTAAAATAATAATGCTCGTAGAGGTCAGACAATTTCTTCAGCCTACTCGAATTTTTGCACTCTGTATGGAGTGAAAGAAAATTGATTAAACAATTGATTTTGATTTGAGATTGATGCCAATTTAACGTTGTAGCATGCTGTTGTCTGCCCTATCATTACTTATCGATTTTAATCGGTAAGTATGTTGATAGGTATTTGTCTGTCTGTCTGTATGTCTGTCTGTTAGATGCACGCAATATCTCACGAAAGCGAGATTGAATCTGCTCCAGATTTTGCATGTGCATTCATAATATGTCGGACCAGAAGCCTATTGATTTTGGATGAATTATGCCGTATAATTAGCGAGTTATTAATTAATTAGTGATGGGACACAAGGTGTCACTATGGAGTAAGAGTGCTGTTTTTGGGGATCCCCTCACTTTCGATCGATAAGTCTTCGTCTCTGACCAATATTTTTGTTTATGTTTTATGTGTGCCCTTGTTTATGATTTCTTATTTTTTTCATTACAGTGATAGTCTGATTCCAACATCAAAGGATGGTGAAAAAATACCAGAAACTTGTAATGCCTTTGACAGAATTCCAACCGGTAAGAAACTTTAAATTTGTATTATTAGCAAGGCTATTTTAGGACATTACTGTTGCATATTTCTGCAAGTTATCTTGTAACTGAAAATTTGATCTGCCAATGGATAAATGCCAGTCAACTTGATATTACTTATTACGTAGATATGGATCAATGCATCTTAAATAATTTAAGACTCACCTCGTCTAGTTGGCAACCTTGAACTGGTAGCCGGATATGAGGACATTGTTCGTCATTTGAATGAGCATATTATCAATATCAGTACTTCAGGATAAAACTATTTCCTGGTGAAAAATAAAACTAAAACCGATGTTTTTATATGATATTTTGGGAGAAAAATTTATGATTTCCCACTCCTAGTTTCCTAAAGAAGAAACCATTATAAAATTTCTGAATGATTTATCTAAATTTGCAATAATGCTTATTGAAGGACTCCAATCTGTGGTTTGCATGGAGTTTGCCATTCTTCTGACTTAGCTTATCGTGCCAATGTTAAAATTTTTGGTTGAAAATTATCCTGGATTAAAATTTTCGAGGTTATATTGATAGAGAATAGAATATAACAATAGACATCTAATACAAGCTTACTTAGTAAGGGTACTGTACTGAATTCTGAATATTCAAGCATTAAATTATTAGCTAGTATTTGGCTATATTATTGATGATACTTTTACATGATTCCAATTTCCTGTTCTTTGAATAATGTTACCAATGTTCAGCCAGTGACTACTGATAATTTGTCCTCAATGTTGCATTTGTCATTTGAAATACCTATCCTGCATGCTTAATATAACTTAAATAACAAATGTGTTGAATTCGACACTTTCTTTCCCTTTATTTACATCCTCTTCTGAAAGAGCCAGGAAGACTGAAATATCAATTTTAATAAAATTCATGAGCCCTGTAAAATTATCTAAATTATTATTAATCTAAATTTGGCAACAGGCCTCAGTTTTTGAATTTGTTCGGTACTGTACTCTGTGACGATCTATGCTTATTGTCACGTAAGGTTGCCGCTGGTTGATATATGTTAATTACCACTATGGAAATACAAGCTACATTAAACTGAAATACGACAGTTTGCATGCCTCAGATTTCAGTATCGGAATGCTTGATACTAGTGTGTTGGACCATGGAATTATATTTAGGGAAGATTAGGGTTACCTACGCTATTGTGGATGAAATTCTGGCAGAGTCAGATATGGTTGTTTCTGTTAAAAATAGTGATGGATGAACCTTTTCATTTCCATATTACCTTGGGGTGTTCACTATAATAATATCTCTCTTGCATGTTTATCTACCATTTTATCTTACTGCATGTTCTTTGTTTTCTTCATTTACAATGCATTCCTAAGAATCAAATTTGCTAGACTTGAAATAATAATTTTGAAAAGAGTCACAAAGCAATTAAAAAAAATTTGCCTGTAAATAAATATTGATTATCTACAACTTCTAATTTACCATAGTTTTAAAATGCAAATGGAATCCCATTTTATGAAAAAATTGCTAATAGATTTAAATTGAATAGTTTAAAGCGGATACAGGTACGAATGCCCGAAATCGACGAAAGAAAATTAATCTTTGGGTTTTTGTATCGTACTCGTCGCTTTACGCTTATGCGCGCTTCTATTTTCGCTTGTGTTTCATCACAATAAACGGTTGTTTTGAATTGAACTGACCAATTCACTGACCTACTACTGGCCACCGGGCAATGATATGCTGAAATTTATCAAGCCGAAAATCTCGCTTTCAGGTACGAATAATTTTTACTAACAATCAAATCCTTGTGCCCAAGGCTTCGTTACTTTTGCGCAACGCTGCCCGGTGGTTCAAAAATTTGAATACATTTTAACCAGATCAAGGCGATAAAAAATTTAACCTAATCTTGGGCACGGATATTAGTATTAACTGACCATTTGATCATACTTAGTCATGGCAACTATTGTCCACCCATGGTTGCTTTGGCTTTGTATTGATATGTATTGGTTATCATGTACCAGTAGGTAGAGAAATTACCATAAAATACTAACTTTCACGTCATGCCACTACTGGTCTGAAATATTGAGGCCACCTTCATGCATCCATTAGTAACTGTACCATTCTAAATTATTTATCAGAGTTACTGATTGAAATCATTAATGAAATACAGAGACATCATTTTTAATCACATCCTGTGACTGTGTATTGTTACAGTACCTTCATCCGAGTATGTTTTCAGTCTTTTTTGCATGTGCATAATTACATCTCAACTTGGTGGACCAACCCTAATAAGTTTCTCTGGTCTGATATGTATTCTATACTTGGAAGGTTGTCCAAAGCTGTTTCTTTGCAAAGCAATTTCCTATTAAAAAAATGGTGTTTTTGGTGTCATATTTTCGTTTTGCATCATTTAGTGGTGTTTGAAATTTAAATTTTTTTTTATTTTTTTATTTTTTTATTTTTTTTTCAGTTTTTGTATTTTTATTTTCTAGATTTGGATCTGGAATGTAACTGCGGTGGAAATCATAGACACACTCCATGCCGAGAAGAAAAAATGCCAGCTTATGAAGGACTGACCATTGACAGGGAATTATTGGACATAGCCAATGGACGAGATGGTCCAGTTATTCCACCAGTAGAACCTCTGGTGATGGATTTAGAAAGCATATTGACAAATTCAATTTTGCCAGCCGTTAATAAGAAATTTCGAGAAACAGTGAGTACTCTGAGAGATAATACTCAACGTGAGGCACTCAAACAACAACTTGAAGAAGCTCTCTCCTCTACTGCCGAACTTGTGATCAAAAATCATCGTCAGGAATATTGCTTACCCTCCCCAACTGTCAACCATTTAACCCACGTTTATCCACTTTTATTACGAGAAATTGAAATTTGGCATGAAACCGCATTGAAAAAAATGTCTGACACACAATTTAATAAAAAATGCTGGGGAAGAGGCCAAAGCAAATGTACAGATCGTGTTAGTTTTAGTGTTCCGTTGGTTCCAATTTTATGGGAGCCTTTGAAGAAATTAATCGTCAATTTTTCTGGAAAATGTGAAGTTATTGCACCAGCTGGTGGAGAATTGGCGTCTTTCCGTGCTGAGCCTTCTACACGATGTTCTCCTTTACCAGGTACTGAAACATGCAAAGACAGCAAGCAACCACATTGTTACGCAAAAAGATGTCAGTTTCCAAAATATTCAATTGACGTTAAAGCATTCTTCCGTCATGCAAACGATAGTCGCCAATTTTTGGAACCAGGGAATCACATTGAACCATTTTGGAAACCTGTCAATGTGACTATACCGGGTGGCGAATCAGTTCGGGGGCACTTAGAGTTGGCCGTTTCTGAACACAAACCATTTGTTATTGATTACTCCCCAGTTGCGGAAAAAGTGAAAATTATGTTCCACTATTCGGCGGTTCGAGATTGTGCATTAACAGATCCGATGTGTGTAGGGAAGGCTCCTGGTTGCAATCCCGAAGTTGAAAAAATTATTGATCATTGGTTTAAGTATTCGATCACTAAATTATCATCGAAAATGAGAAAATGTACAAGAGAAATAGTAAAGGCAAAAGATTCTGAAAATAGAGAAAGGAGGCGCAGACAAGGGCGAATGGAATTCAACGAACGTTTAGAAGTCACAGATAGAAGTGATTGGTTACTGTATGAAAAGCGAAACACATGGAACACAATCATTCCCACACCCGATCGTTGTAAATACGTCGGAGGAAAAGTACGACCACTCTCATCTCATCCGGTAACAAAAAACATATGGTCTTTGATTTACTCTCGAAGTCAGAGAGCAGGTGGAGTCTACTCAGGTTACCATAGTACGATTGAATTCTATAGCTTGCATGACGTACTGGTATTTTTCAAGAATATGTGTACTTTTGAAGAACCTACTATACAAAGAAAAAAATTTAGAAAGAGGGCGGTTCGGGGACGTTCGAAGTCATCAATATACATTCAACCTATGGTGTCAAGAGACAATCCTTTTAAAATTCAAAGACATATAAGTGGAAAAGTGTTTATAAAGTATTTCTCCATGGAAAGCTAGTCTGATGACGAATTTTTATCGTTTTTGATGGTTTTCGTCTCACTAAATATTATTACACTTTTCACACAGATCAAATTTTTTTAATTATCAATTTTTCATTTTGTGTTAAACTTATTCTTATTCGTTTTTTGTTTTCGGTTTTATTTTTATCTCTTTTGTATTGGAAAATGAAGAGCGAACAAATATTTTATTCTTATTTATAGATGTCTGTTTTTTATTCTTCCATCTTGAAAAGTTCCATCCACATGGGATATTTTCGTATTATTTTTCTATATTTTTCGTTGATTTTTCACATCATGTGCCACATTATCATTCGTATAAAATAAAGTGCCAGGGCAACCAACAAGCCGTCCAGAACTTTCACCCACCTGCCAATATTATAAACAAATCCTGCCTTGAGAAACAAAATGCAACAACAATGTAAAAAAATTTTGTCTTCGGACTTCCGAGTAGTTTATTTTAGAACTTCTATAGTGATACACAAATATGTTCACCCACTTGCCAATATTATAAACAAATCCTGCCTTGAGAAACAAAATGCAACAACAATGTAAAAAAATTTTGTCTTCGGACTTCCGAGTAGTTTATTTTAGAACTTCTATAGTGATACACAAATATTTGGGTCAGGGAGTATGTTCGTTTAACATTAACCACCTTCATAATACTTTTTTCCATTCATTTCACAAGCCCTCAGCTAGAGCAAAACACAATATCTCTATTTTCAATGAATGAAAATTCTCGTAATTTCTTGTAGTGTTAGTCTGAGACACATCAATCACTGTGAACTCTGGTGTCTTTAATCTTGTTTGAAATCACCACAGTAAGCACCCATCAACCATAACATTGAACAATAGTTACACATTATGAGGTCATAAACATCTATTATTCCATTGTCATCTTCGCAAAATAAATTTCACTTCAAATTGTTATGAAAAAATAAATTGATATATTTATTTCTGGTTCTAATATTTTTACAACGAAAATTGATGATTTCCGATTTCCAAATTCTGCTTTTTCAAAAGAAAAAATGGATATTTCTCATTAAATTTTGATAAAAATATTATGTTTGAATCACTTTTTTATGGTCATGTAGTATTATTATCATCATGACTTTATATATAAGAATATGAAAATGAGAATGCTGGTCACTCTTTTTTCAACTGATTCTCAAAATTCCACCTGTCGGTGCCTATTACTATATTTACTATTAAGGTGGACATGTTCTTTATATATAAAACAAAGTAAATTATATATTATTATATTATACACATAGATATTATACGTAGTAAGTATTATAGCGCTACCTCACTATTTTATTCGTCTAAATGTCGTTTTGTTTTCATGTTTTGTCATTCATTTACACGTACATACATCATTTTTCCTATTTACAATCACTATGTTTGTTACCCAATTTAAACGTAAATCCATATTCAAACCTAAATCACTACTGCTTTTATTATTGAAAATAGTGGCAGACAACGCGGCAACAAATATTGCTTTTATAGTAGAAGCTTATGTGCAGCGTTTCATTAGTAGTTTCGTACTTTATTTTCAGTAGAATATCATTTTATCAGCATATTTTTACTCATACACGTCCCACCACGATTAATGCAGTCAGTGTTGATGTATTACAGCAGTATTTTTGAGAAACAAACAAAATGAACAGTTCTTTTTCTTATTTTGTTAAAAACAGTTTTTATCAATTTTTTACAAAAATTTTATAATCTCGATTTTAAACAACGGAATTTTACAAGGTGCTAAAATTCAATCGTGCCAAAATTTTTGGTCAAGGCGAAATCGTTTGTAAGAAAACAAGGTGAAAAAATCTGAATGTTGCAAGGAATTGGCCTGTTTTATCTATATCTATATAGCAGTCACTCGTTTTCTTTCGAAGTAACTCTGTTAACCTGAAAAGGCTTTTTTAACACAATCTATAGGTTTTTGTTTTGAACCAATGTGACCAAAATTTGAATCGAACGGGCCTCAGCGAACTTAGCGAACAACGTCTAAGTAAAAAAGGAAAATAAATAATCTATCTCGAAACATCTTCTTATTGTTTATTGAATTGGTGCTGAGCAAAGTTGTAACTGTAAAATTATTGTTAACTTTTCTTAAAAATAATATCACAGAAGATAATCACTTCTTTATCCATGACTGCATTGTGCCAGTCATATGGTCTACAAGTAATTTCTGAAATTGTATTTAATAAAAATATCTTAGAGTATTTACATCTAGCTTTGGTATTATCTTAATCTCCTGATTATGCTTTTAATTGTCAATGCCAATCAATTAATTTTCGATCGCTGAAAATTTTGCATACATTGGTTGATTCTTTGTGTTATTCAGTCCTAATCGTTGGATCTTCTGGTAAAGCATCCTCTCTATTTTATTATCTCTTTTTTATCTTTTTCATTATTTTATTTTTCATTATCTTTTTTATTTTTCTCATGATTTTCATATGGAGTTTGTGCATGTTGCACATTACAATAAAAAAATATGTGAAAATATATGTTCTTGGGTTTTCTTGCTCAGCCTAGTTTTAATGAGAATTTATAGAAATGTTCGAAATGATTTCTGTATTTCAATTTTTTTTTGCATTTGCACCAATAGTATGTACACACAGACAACAGGAATGTGAGAAATGATATTGGCTAAGATGTCAACAGAGATTAGTGTGACAGGTTATTTGATTATAGTAAATCTTTTTGGCAGTGGCAACTGCTAATAGTATTCGCCAAATGGCAAAGCACAGTCTTAATACAGTATATTTAAGGTCTATGTATTCCTTCTCGTCTCTGGCAAATCGAGTTCAAGAATAGAAATGGATACATCCTCAGCTGGTTTAGGCCATATTTTTTCCGATTGGTTCTTTGTAGATTGAAATACCAAAAAAATGCACTTACTAAAAAGTACTTCTCAGTTTAAATATTTTAACTTCCGCTTGATTTATCATCATTCATACATTCGCATGGAATTAATGGGGGTCCTTTCACTCCTCTCTATGGAGACCTTATCTTTGGGACAAATAAGCAACCAGTATTGGAATCTGGAATTGCTACATTTTTCCTTTTTTCATATTCAAAAGTGTGTGCTTATGTTGAAAAGTTATTGTTGACGAAGCTAATTTAAGTGTTACACACGGTATTGTAGAAGTGGATGTCTGCATAGATTTCTTGCATGTGAGTTTTATTTTCAGAGGTAGTAAGTCAAGCAACGACTGAAGTTGGAATCGTTACTGAATGTGAGTAAGATGTCATCGTGAATAATTTGTAGCAACAAGAAACGTTCTGTGGAAATTAGAAAATTTAAAACACTCTTTTTGTTAGTCATTTTATCGCCTTGAAATTAAATTTGGATCAGTTTAATTGCATTTTTTATCCAATCTTATTTATCTTAGAAATCCTGCCTGCATGTGTGAATACGCTTTTTGTTGTAAATATATAGTATTCATCATTCATCAATATAAATCAACTTCTGTTCACATATCTTTTGTTACAGCCATGGTACTAGCAACTTCAATAAATGATAACAAATTTGTTTCCATTCAAAAAATCAAACTTGAATACAATTTTTTTTAATTTGATTTTCATCGCATTTTGAAGCTAGGACTAGCTAGGAAGTTGTGGGCCATCCAACTCTTGAATCCGAAATCTAGTCCAATCTCAGAGCTAAGTCTCACTGGTGATGAGTTGAATTTAAGTCACGACTCGAGTCTAAGTTGAGTCAATGTCTCGAGTCCTCCCAACACTGTTAAAAACATCATTTTTATATCCAAAATTTACCTAAGCTATAGAGAAATTCTTTCCTATTCTGTAGCGAAACCACTTAAACCAGTTCTACGTAGTGATATGCCATCGAGCAAAGGTAAGCTGAAAAATCAATTAACCTGGATAATTTGTGCCATTTTTGTGGAAATGAAATCAAAACAAAATTGATGACATTAAAATGACTAATTCAGATAACTCTGCTGTGTAGGATTTTCAATAATTGTGTTGTTAAATATTAGATCAACACTGTTAATAAAACATTGGGTGTCTAATCATAACTCAATAAAAACAATAAATGTAATAAAAAACGGTAATCTAACAATCAAAAGCATTATTAATTTATGCTCTGTGTGTCATGGTAGAGATTGAATACTTTCTCTTCCATTTCTAATCAGTAATTGAGAATCAAAACTTTCGTATTACACTTTACCTCAAAACTTTGTATCGAACTGATCCACTTATTATACTCAATTTAGAATTCAAAAATAGATCTTATACCTCAAGAAGATACATTATTTAAATCAGTGGTTCTTATCTGCAGGTGAATTTACCCATGGGTAAATTTGACCTGTATAAGGGTGAATTGTGCAAACAAGAATTCACAGGACTAAATGTGACTGTTGACTACATAGAAGATTGCAGCGTTTTCTGTTGTGCAATTGATATTTATTATGCTCTTACCGTGGAGGAATTATTTCGCTTAGTACATTTTTCGTATTCCACTCAACATACACTGAAATAGACAGTCAGTCCATTCATTTGAAGGGGTAAATTTCTTTTGAAATTGGGCCAAGGGGTAAACGAATGAATAGAGGATGGGAATCCTAATCTATATATATTACGCTCTGACCTGATACTAATTATTGAATTGACTGACCTCTTTATATTTATCATTTGACACAAAAATCGAAAGATTTTGGCATTTGATTTGATCTGTTAAAATTAGTGATTCGACTGGAAGCATTTGTAATTAACGCTTGTATATTATTTTATATTATTGTAAATTGAGTAAATTGTCTCAAAATAAAGATTTAATCAGAATAGAAGCAAATCTACTAAATCTGGTTCCACATGATAATACGAATATGTCAGATCTTTCGTGAAAATGTAATTTATCTTCTTCGAACTTGTTGGAATTTGTAACATGTGACAAACTTGTACCACATATCACAGTACTAGGAGGTTTGTTCCAAGCATTAGGAACATGATTGCCATCGCACCTGTGATTGCCCTGGGCAGATTCTCAGGTTCCAAATTCTAATTCTGTGGCAAATCATTATGGGTGGGGATTGCCAGACCCTTCGTCATCATGGGTGTTCAAGTCACCTCTTGTCTGTTACGGCTGCCACAAAAGCTTCCTTAACCAAGCTTTAAAGTGGTTAACAATTCCCATATTCAATATCTATAATATCGAATTACCTCTAATCTAGGAGAAATGTGAAAATCTAATTCTAAATTTGAAATTGGTATCATACATTCTTAAAATACCTTTATATTAGTGATATGTGTTTTCTATTATAATTTTGTGATTAATAGATTTGTTTATGAAAACGTGAATTGAATATAAAAAAAAAAATTTGGAATATCAATGAATATTTCTAATCATAGTTAGGTCTGAGCTAATAAATGTTAGTAGCAGTATTTGATGTTGAATCATATACTATAATTCATGTCTGATTTGTTGTTGTGCTGTGTGCTTGTCTTGCTGCATGTTTTTCTGATCATTCATATATTTAGTAGAATGATCTATAGACTTGGTTAAAGGATTATCCAAACTCTATAAGACAACACATAATTTTTTTCTATGAAATATTGGTACAGAATTCATTTAACTATTAATACTAGTGTGAGGATACTGCCATAAGTTGCATATCGACAAATGTCCCAAATTCCTGCTTGACCCGAACTAGTTCGAAATCGTCGGATGAATACAATTTGAAATATTTTTACCCTAATCCTAACAGAGACCTCATACCATCGTACTAACTTGAGGTAAATCTCACATGACAGTGTTGGAAACGTCCCACTATAGGAATCATATTTTACCATAAGTGATGTGATGTCAAACATTTTTCTCAGGTGGTGATGACAATAAATCATTAGCTCAAGCATCTGCAGGAAATTTTCTGATCCTGGCTTTTTTTGGAGGTCTTCTACTCGGTATCCTCATCATGGTGGCAGTCTTCTTCGCTTATAAACATTGCTCACATCGCAGGAGGAAGCACACGTAAGAAACTTTCTTATTTTTAATAGTTGAATCTTTCTCAACATGTTTTAACACTTTGCTCTGGCCCTCGCTATTGATGAAAAACCAAAATGGTTGGTTTGCACTAACCAGGATCTTATTGGCAATGCCTTTCCAGTCTATTACACCCTGAGTAAGGTGGCGATTGTGACATTTAAATTGAGATATCTGTTAGACTACACATCCAGCATAAACACAAGTGTAATAAAGTGATAAAACAACATTTCATATAGAGAATTATATATTTATCCAATTTAGCAACACATCATTTCAAAGTATTCAATTACCCAAGTGCATGTCCAACAAATTTCTAAATTGCCAATCTCTAGTGCCGAACCAGTAAGCTATCGGAATAACATCGTAATATTAATTAACAGCAAACTTATTTAGTATTCAGTGGCAAATAGGTATACATAATACAGTAGCCTTGAACAGTGAAATATCTAACTTAGTTAGAATGTCTAGAACAGTAAAAATTTACTGTAAAAAGTAAATCTAAAATCTTTAAATCTTAAATATGATTTTACGGTTAACAGACATCTAAAATATACAAGATTTTATTTACAGCAGGGGATGTTTATCAGTAACGTAAGATTTACTGTTGTCGTTTTTTTACGTTTTGTTTTATGCACCGTTATCATATTTGGTTCAGTGTGTGTATTATTTTGTAATTTTTTGACATTTTTTTTCAATTTGGCCGTTTTTTTTTTGTACACAAATATTAAGTCACATTTTTGTTTCATGAATCTTTGTTCCTGCATGTTGCAAGTCTTTTTTTTTTATTTCGAATTGAAGACTGGTGGGTTTGTAAATTGTAAACCTATGTGTCCTGCACTGCTCATCACTTCTTATAGTGTGCTCACATGTGGTTTTGAAACTGAAAATTCATATTACGTGTTCATCTATGTCCAACTTGATGTTGTGTACCTTGGCGCATGAATTTTACATTTCATGAATCGAATCTAGTTTTTGGAATATGTTCTGAATAGCAAAAATTTCATTCCAACAAATGTAAGTCCAAATAAAAGAATTTTTTATTCTGTAAGCATATTTTTACCCAGAATTTTAGTAGAAAATTACTTGTACCCTCAGCAGTTGGAACCCATTGGCTTGGCCGTGTGGCGCATCTTGTTACGCGTCAAAAAATACGCTGGCCACTGCACCTCTGATTACCCTGCATGGGTCCGCAGATTCAATTCTGTGGGTATAATTATTTGAGAGAGGATTGCTGGACTACTCGCTGCCGTAGGGTAGTTCACTCATCATGAAACTATAGCAGCACAATGAATTTAGCAGAATTACAAAGTTTGCTTAGAAGAATTTGTGAATTCAAAAAAAAGGATTTTTTTGCTTGTTGATTTTGAATGTATTTGTGAGCTGGTTATTATGTTCGTTTTAATCCATCAATTCTACGTATCTCTGCAATTCAGTATTAACAGCGAACCCAAGATGAAGAAAGTAAAAAGGAATGAAAGTAGAAGAAGTGATGAAATCAAAGAAAATGTTGTCGAAGATCGCGGATCAAATTATATGGAGATGACAAAATCACCACAGGTTCATAAAATTTGCCCAAAATTCTCCATTTTCTGATTGTATAACTATGATATTGGTAGTACTTATAGAAATCTTTCTTTTCATGTATATGGGATCCACAGAATTTTGCCATCTGTTTCCTGAAAAAACATAGATTTAAGTAAGATGAAATGTATTTTTGTATCAACCATGTACATTCACATCTTTTTCAATTTTGAGGTTGTTATGATATCGGTGGTAGTTTTCAATCATCTCTTTTATGTATATGAGATACCCACCATTTTGCCATCTGTTCCCTGATAAAACATAGATTTAAGGAGATGAAATGTATTTCTGTATCAACCATGTACATTCACATATAACGAGTTAAGGTACATGTTATTCACTCTACCTAGTGTAGAATGGATATTGACTGTAAAAACTTATCGAGCGTTGTCCCAGGGATGGCGGATGAAGGTGCCTAGCCCACCAGAACCTCGGGTATATGATGTGATAAAGCTTCTTTCTTGAATTGCAACCAACATTAAGTAGGCCTCGATTCAATGACACAATTATCAATAGTCATTATCAAAAACTGATTATTGGACTTGGAGTGGACGTATTGATCGTTTTGTCATCTGTTTTCACCTTAAATATTTGTTGGATGACGTCATCAAAATTTCAAAATGCTCACCATGCCTTGGTTCAGTGATCGCATTTCAGCGATCTGTGGTCAGACTACCGGTACTGTAAAAGATTTGATGCTCCTCCGTTTTGGCCCTCGTGCCCGTATTTGAGCATTGCTCTCTTGTATAAATAATGATTGTCACTTGTGTGCTTTCCCACTTGCATCCGAATCCTTGTATCCATAATCTTAGATGAAGTCATATATTTTCTATACAACATAAATATACACATTTCACTCCAAACAAGTCACCATTGGTAGGTAAGGATCTGCGAAAGTTGCGAAGGACCAGAATCTCTCCGGTTTACGATTGTCTACCCAATTTGTTATACGCTGGGTGAGGTGGTGGGCATGGGATTTTAACCTTCGATGCCATCATAGTTAATTCTAATGCTTTAACTTTCTTTGTACCGCACCCACCCACTTTCTTTGTAAAAAAATTACTTAATTCACTAATTAACATAATTTAATAGATTAATATACGCTAAATTAAAATTGTGTTTCTGTTTAATTTTCTGCAAAATATTAACAATATTTATCTTTTATATTCTCAACAGCACACATATCCTCTTCCACCAAGTCCATCTTCATCTGGAGGTTTGAAATTTCATTTTGAATATCTTTATGATCTTTACATTATTGCAACACGCTTAATGTTATATAAATCTATTTTTTGTCATTTGTTATTTACAGGTGATCCACATGATTATAAAAAAGCAAGCACCAAGTATGTTTAGAACATTTTCTTTTTATAATAATGTAGGGGCGACTTATATACGTAAAAAGATCGTTTTAGATATAATATATCTGTGAATGTAGCCATTGTAAATAACCAACTAAAAACAATTCATATCATTTTGATATGAAGTCACTTAACTATCGACTACAGATACAATTTTTGTTTCAAAAATGAATTGCATATACCAAGTTATCTAGCATCAGTTGTAGTTGATTTTAGTGACAAATTGTAAAGTCAGCATTCTTCTGACTTCATTTCGTAGTTGACAAACATTCCAATACAAATTACCAGGTTTTTTCGGTAGTGTGATTTCATACATAAAACAGAATGTATATCATCTATCTACATGTGAGTGGAATGTTCATGTAAGATACAAATTTGACGATATTCATATGCTTTATTTCAGATATCCAAAAAAACATAGCAGTCCAAAGTCTCCTAAAGCAAAAGCTCCTCAACCTCCTGAAACAGTTCCATTAGTCGGTAATGTAAATTTTATCTTGAAGTACTATGTTGAATGAAGGTTTACAGATTAATTTTTTCCAACAATATGAAATGAATACGTTATTGCATCATGGCAACCTATTTTGATTGTAAGGGCGCTCCAGAAGTGTGTTTACCAATATGGAGGTAACTAATTTTGTTCGCCTACCATATATCAAGTTGCGAACTCGTAATAGAAATAAAATAGGGAAAATCAAAATAAAATGATTACCTAACCCTAACCTGGTACACACACTACAGGAGTACCATTATAAGTTCGTCTTAGCTTGTAACAATATATATTTTATGGGAGTTAACTAATAATTGAAAGCTCACAGACCAAAGACTCACAGGCAAGTGAGACTTCCGACTAATAGTTGAAAAAAATGTTATATCTTGATTTTGGGTTGTAAAAAATATTGTCTTCAACACCGGGTTATAAAAAATTTTGACTCTAACTTTCACCTTGGATTCTCTTAAATTAATTGCATTACAAATCCTGATATCATGAAATAAATCATTTCCCATTGATGTAAATTATTGTATTGTATTACGATCAACATCATTTTTTAGAATCTTCTTTTTTGATAGTAATATCTAATTATTGTGTTTTACACAGGAAGTCAACAAAGTTCACCAACTAAATCACAAACTTCTGAGACAGGTATTTTAAATTAAAAACAGGAATTTTGAATTATGATGTTCATCATCTTAGTGGCCTATTATCACTTTAAAATTGTTGTACTGCATTTGTCACACACTCGCCCACCTTGGGCCACACCTTTCCCACTTGTTTCAATTGCATCACTTCTCCCAGGGTTTAAGGTAAGGGTAGACATATTTTGCGGGGCAAAAGGACAAGTTTGAAGCAAGTGGGTACTAAAATTTTGAGACACCGACCTTCTATATGAACGTTTTGTTCCCTATATAGCACCAGGTGTAAACTGTGAATATGAATTGAAAATAGGATGGGTACACATACAAAACGGTAATATACGAGGTGTGGCTAAAATGAAACGGGACTGACGTCACAGATTGCGCAACACGATTAACCATCGGTAATCAACACTTTTGCAGTGTGGCGTAATATGTGTTTTTTGTTTAACAGCTGTTTTGACACAATATCGCAATTATTTTTGCTTTTTTAGGATCCATAAGCGAATGTGATAAATTTCTTGTTGAAAAAAAATGCTGTGCGAGGTCTGATTGAGTTTTTTGGCGATAGGGGGTTCGATTGCAGAATGACGATTGAGCAAAAAATTAACATTAAATTTTGTGTCAAACTTGGGAAAATGCATGTCAACTCGGCATGCATTCAATCGTTGAGCTTTCTGCTCCTCAGTCAACTCAAGAGCATTTGGCATCATTTTGGCACACACCTTTCGCATTCCCAAAGTGTCAACCAAAATGGACCGTTTCTTTGTCCATCCCAATTTTGTTGGCAATGACGCGAATTGTTAAGTGACGGTCACTGCGAACCAACTGCCAAACCTTTTCGATGTTGGTATCAGTAGTGGAAGTGCAAGGCCTCCCTGACCTCGGATCATCCTCCACATCCTCCCTGCCTTCCACAAATCGCTTGTGCCATTCAAAAACTCTTGTTCTGGACATGGAAGAATCTCCATAAACATCACGCAACATCTGCAAAGTCTCAGTCGCCGTTTTTCCAAGTTTGACACAAAATTTAATGTTAATTCTTTGCTCAGTCGTCATTCTTTAATTGAACCCCCTATCGCCAAAAAATTCAATCAGACCTCGCACAGCATTTTTTTTCAACAAGAAATTTATCACATTCACTTATGGATCCTGAAAAGCAAAAATAATTGCTATATTGTGTCAAAACAGCTGTTAAACAAAGAACACATATTACGCCACACTGCAAAAGTGTTGATTACCGATGGTTAATCGTGTTGCGCAATCTGTGATGTCAGTCCTGTTTCTTTTTAGCCTTACCTATAAGAATAAATGTAATTTCCTGTATATCAGTCTATTTCGTATTTATTCTCGACTGTTTCAAAACAGCTGATGTCCAATCCTGATATGATCTGGTAGGAAATAATTAATTTCTGGTGTTTTGGCTGATGAGCTTTTCAATAAATGCTCATGCTCAACTAATGTTTACTGGAGCCTTTTAACCAATTTAATACTATTTCGTGCCGTCGATTATGTTTCAGCAGGACCAATTACATATCCCTCTATCATACTTCTGTGCTGGTGAACCCATATGCATATATTGCAACAATGCAAGCAAGAGTGAAGATAGCTATTCTAAGTGATTCAAGAGTTTTGCTGCGCATTGATGCAAATATTTGCAGTGACACTCTTGAATCCCTTAATCTTAATTAATTCAAAAGATAGTAAAGAATATACTAGAGTAATAGTGGACGGCTTACTCTGATAATATACATTTACCCTAACTAATGTCTACAATATTTTAATTTACAGCTGCATGGGGGAATTTTTTTTTATTTAGTCTCTCTATATTTTTAATCTGTTATTCAAAAATACGTTACTGAACAGTTTGTAAAATATTTTTTTTAGCTGCACATTTCAATATTCTTTAATAGTTTTGAATTTTTGATTTTTCATTCACATGTTTCATATGATTCTTTTTTGATGCTTTGCATGCTTTTATTTTTGAATAATATTTTCAATGTTGCTTTGAAATAAGTGATGTATGGTGATAACATATTTTTCTCTTATGCAGCGCAAGATCTGAGAAAAACAGCAATGCCTGAAAAGGTGACAACACCGCAGCATATTTCGCCAGTGAAGGAAAATCCAAATTCAAACAACAGCAATAATCATTATTTTGCCGCAAATTTTGTACCAACTACTGAACCAATAGCTCCCCCTTTACCAGTGAAACAATCTACTATCAGAAGACAACAGCAACAAGCAGTTCAACCGTCAATTGATCCCCAGCCTACACCAAGAAAAGTTACATTGCCTTCTAGAAAATACCAATCTTTTGCTGGATTTGACCGACCCAAACCACCTGTCCCACAAAAGTCACATCTTGCACAGGTTTTTGCTGAAAGAAATCTTCGTCCTCACTCGCTCGCACCTCCAAAATCAGTTCGAAAAATTGAAGACATCTCAATACCGAAACAAAGTTATTCAATGACACCACCGACCTTACGATCAGAAAAATCATATGGAGGATTTGATCAACCTAATCGAGAAATCATTATACCAAAGCGACGGGAGAGACCACCATCATTTCGCTACAACAATGCAGCACCAAAAGAAGTAAGAAGCCCTGTTCCTGTGGCAGCTCCTGTTGCTCCAGTCATCAATACAAGATCACCAGATCGTGATCCGCTGTTGTTTCAATATTGAAAGCAAAAGTGAGAATGAGATAAGTTTGTTACCGAAAGATACAGTGGTTGTCAGAGTACTTACAACTTTTATGATATAACATGGAATTTCTAGTGTAAATAATTAATAATTTGAATGGCCTATGCCGAGCCAAAAATGTTTTTGTGGCGATATTTTTAATTGTCAATAGATTATCTGTCTTTTTGACCTTGTTAAAAGTTGAGGTTTCAGTAAAGACTTTATGGATTATTTTCTGCAGTTATGGGATACTGTAACATAGGCTTTAAGTTGGAAAATCCTAAATTATATTTAAGAATTTGCACCAAAAATGTCAGTTTCTTCAATTTTGGTTTTTCGTTATTCGTTGTTTTTATATGATTACTATTTTTTTTATTCTTTACGTAACATTTAATTAGACTTAGATGGTAATTTTGTGTTTCAGACAAACCTGTGATTTGTCATCTAAGTGATACAGCTGCATAACATGTATCGATATAAAATTTTGATTTCATAGTTCAATTTCGTTGTGTTATTATATTTTTTTTTATTCTTATTTGATATATTTCTTTATTTTTATTCATTTCTGATATTAAAACAGCTTCTGTTTGGAATTTCTAATGCAGAACATCATTTTTTAAATAAGTTGATATTTCCGAACTACTATTCCATACTTGAAACTTTCATAAATAATGCTGTTATTTGAAATTGTACTATTTTAAAGAGCGTCAGAAATGTAATTTAATTTTCACCTTCTTTTGCGCTATTTCCACGCTACATCTAAAACACTTTTTTGATCTATAAATATGTGATTTATGCTGAAAATAAATTTAGATACAATTTCTAACAACGAACTATGCATGATCACTGCCTTGGTACGATAAGTATCTTTTATGCATGATTATAAAAATGGCACGCTACAAATCATAAGATTATGGTATTAACAATATAAATAAAATATTTTTTAGATGTCTTCAACTGCACCAGCTAATAAAAAATATACTTAGGTATACTATAATATTATAAGAAATATACAAGAGATAATTCTTTCATATTTTGTATGATGAATATGATAATGTGTTGCAACGATACATGACAAATTCTGTACATTTTATTCATATTTTTTAATGCTGAAGAAGGCGTTGAGGGATGTGAAGTATGAGACAGAAACCATCAAAAAATTTGGCAAAATTTTGATTACTGCAAATTAAATCCAGTTTTTCACTTATATATTTATGGGAAATGACTACTATGTATCCAATACAAGTTGATCTTCGATTCCACAGCTTTTCTTTTTATATATCATTGTCAGGATGTTAATAAAATTTATGTTCTCGTAAATTTTACAGTAAGCTAACTGTGTCTCAAACATCACAAACATTTCTTCAGTATCTCACAAGTTCTGCTTTGTAGTTTTTGCTTTTAATGTATAATGTTGGCATATTGTTGTCAATTCAGTAGCATAAATGTTCCATATAGTGACAATCTATATCATGTATCGATACATGAATTAACGCACAAATGTAAATGTAATCGCACTGTAATTGGAATTTTCGATAGGTTTTATATAATATATGGTTCTGATTTGGGATGGACAAAACAGAATATTTCGCTATAATTGAATAAAACAAAAAGTTTCTGAATATTTGCGAAAATACTATATCCCCGATAGATTTGAAGATTAGGCAAAGAAATCACACAAATGGAGTGAATTCATAATCAATTAATAACTAACATAATTACTGTATATAGACAAATTTCTAAATCCAATAGTTGTGTATGAATGTTCAATATAGCAACTTGTTTTTTTTGACATCCACAGATCCAGGATAATAAAATAATATGGTATTGAGGCAAGTTCAATCTTTCAAAGAACAATGCATGTGTGATGCTTCATTACAATGATTAAAATTAAATTTTCCGCATATATATCGTGAGCTTTATAATAGCATCTTTGGAGTACTCTCTTTGGAGTACTTCCACTCACTCTCTGCTCAACCAGGCACGAGATGTGGTAGGATTTTAATTTGCTACGAATCATTAATTAGTATCAATATTAATACTTTTCTAATGGGTATAGTGTCGTGGAAAGTGTTTCATCAACATACTTTTTTTTATCAAATTATATCGCAAGCCATCATTATAGTTCAACCATGATTAACTTTCAATTCATGATGCTATGTGTCGTGGTGTATTTAATCAAAGTTATTTTTATGTAATCCTTTTTTGTTGATTCTTTAATTAAAATGCTTCTTGCAAAATTAAGCTGTGGTTTGTTAGTGAATCCTGGCAGTAGAAAGATAAGATTCATGAATTATGATGGCTTTTTTTCAACTTTGCTCAGCGCGACTGCGTTGGTCCTAATCCCATTTAGGATTAGAAGTTTAATAATCAAGTGGTCGGTCGTTCGTCTGGTTACTACTTTAGGTCAGGTATTTCAATATAGTTATTCGCCCCAGATGTATGCATGCACGTCCTAGGCGAGTGGATGAAGCCTTGAACGCTAGCACATAGTTGCTTGTGTAGAGCCTAGTTCAGAGTGAGTCTGTGGATGAACACCAGGCCGGGTATATCGAAATAGTCAACCAGTCAGTTGCTTCAGATGAATGCATACACGGACTGGGATGGTCGAGGAGGCTGTAATCATCATAGAGTACTTGCTTGTACAGAGCCTAATTTGGGGTGACTGTGTGGGTGGATGACCAACATTTTCGCGAAGTTGCTTACACTATGTCAAATTAGGAACGAATATGTGACAGGAACACCTTGATTATCCAAAAGTAGTTGGTTGTAGAGAGCTTTGTTTAGAGCGAATGTGTGGATGAACGTTTTCATTCTTTGAGTAGTTGCTTCTACAGACAGTTGACTTATTTTATGGGCCGATGCTAGCAAGATGGTAATGGACCATGTGTTATCTAGCTAGTGTGTACCATCACAAAAAGGGCATTGCTGCCGTTTTGATTCTCCTCTATTTCCCTTCCAGCAGGAATAGATTGATATAATGTTGTTTCTACGCATTTCTTCTTTTTTATCATTCTGCGATTTGCTGGTTGGAAAAAATAAACTTTACCTGAATTTTTTTATTTATGATTTTGCGCGCTGTTCAATTAACTTATTCATCACGTGATCTCCGATCTCCTAAACTTGTTTATGAGGTAACAGTTATATTGAAAACGAAGTCACAAGATCTATGAATCGTTTTGTTATTATGTTCTTTTTGTGAACTATTGCATTTCTCTCCAACTACTGGACCAATTGCTTTTCTAACATTTAATATTTCAGCTCCTAGTTGGGTGGCGTTTCCCACAAAAAATAACAATGCAAATCTATAAAATCTATCTATAAAAATTACCAAACGAGTGTAAAGCACTTGCGATCTTAGTAAGTAAACCTATCACCATATACGAATTTAATCGCCCGAAGTCTGTGGCAGAATTACATAAATTGGCTCATCCCATCACAGACTTCGAATGGTACGTCGTAATCGTCAACTAAATGACACTAGCAAAAAATAAGAGGAAGTCGTGAAAATAGATACAAGTTGTCTCAGTAAATTCCTCGCTGATCGGCCGGATGCCTAGCTTTAAAATATTCTTGGAAGAAAAATTCTGGAATAGACAGGGTTCGCATCTGAATCAAGAAGAACGGTTTTAACTTTCGGGTGAATAGGTCAGTTCCCAATGTAAAGAAAAGTTTCTTGAAAATAGTGGGTGTAAAATCAATGACCCGATGACGACAGAACCATAGAAAGACGTGTTATGAGTGGAATATAAGGGGTTCAACTGCTGTCGGTTAGTAGTAGATAGAATACCAAATATGACAATGACATGTGGGGAAAGTGTAGATTCCCAGATAGCCGTTTTGTTTTAAAAAGGGAAAAAGTTTCAGTTCATATCCACACCTGAGCTACTGGCTGCTACACCCCGTGCTCTTTACCGAGGTGTAAAGAGTAGTAATAGATGAGTTCAAGCGACCAGAGACACGCTAAAGAGCTGTATTACATGCATTTTTATCCATTGAAACTGAAAAAGATGTCAATAGACAGCGCTCGGCGATCTCGTTGGTTTTGAACTTTTAGGGGCCGGATCGTTGCTTGATCAGTTTTTATTAGGAACCCGCTATGATAAATATGCAGTATAAATAAACCAATAAATATGCTACCACACATCTTCCCACCAAAATCATTGATCACCCGGCGTTTACGGCCGAATGGACAATTCAAATACAGACTGCACGTTTATTTATTCAATCCGTGCTCGCCCGCACGTGTTCGTCCTTGGGAATCAAAAGTCACGTTTTCATATTGCTATATTGAGAGGCGCGTGTACAGGCAGACAGGTGTAGTGCATAGCAAATTCATCAGTGTTATGCAAGATTTCTTATTTCTTTATAGCGTACGGGGGTATGCTTCAAAAACAGATATTAAATATTTTTTCTAGTATTCTCGTGTTTATGTGCACGCAGGTCGTTAACACATTTTCTTCATTTGTTATTGTAGTATTTGCTTTACGTCTGTACGTGCACAAAAGCATGGATTTCCAGACCTCTATATTTGCATATCCTGTATTTTGGTTGACAAAATAACAAATATCTCTCTTTTTTCTACATGGAAAGTGGATGGGATCAGTATTGTACTTGATTAAAGTGAAGTATAATACCGGTATATATAAAATTTTAACACATGCCCTCTGAACTATACAATAAATCTGATGTAGAGTCATAGTGTGATAATCCATGCTGACACTTTGATCACAGCGTAAATAAAATGGCCTGGAGCCTCGGTTACCTGTGAAGGTCTTGCATACTGACCATCACGATTTAATGTTTAAATATCCACTGCACTGTATTTTCATAAAAATCTGTACTATTGTCCTTTTTTAACATTGTTTTGTGGAAAAAATCTCTCTCTCTCTCTCTATCCCTTTCCTTCCCAACGAGGAGGAATTCTGTCGTGTTTCTTGAGGGGGTGGGTGGGGGGGGGATTTTTGCTTTATATTAGCTGTATTATTAATATCATTTCTTTGTCTTTATCATATGACTATAATACTTACTAATGAGGACATAATACTGTAATGAACTACGCACACTAGGATCCGTTAAGCGGTTAAAGATTATACAAAAAACAATTGAATCAGGAGAGAAAATGAAGCCTTAGTACAGTCAGACAGTAGTAGGGTTTAAAAGATATAAAATATAAGTTCGGAAGGTTCGCCAGAAAGAAATGGTACATGTTCACACAACCAAAAGTATCAAATTAATTCACACACACATCATCACAGGGAAATAAAAACGTGAAAAGCTTGAGGTAGGTTACATGGTATTCGAGAGAAATAAATACAAATTATTCGCCACACCATATTGATAAATTTATAACAGTTGCCAAATTGAATATAGATTTTCTAAGCAAGAATGAACAATAAAGGGCAGTATTTAAGGAAAGGATATCGCCAAGGTGATTATACTTCAATAGTTCAGTAGTTGGAGTCAAATGCCAAATAGACTAATCAAAGTTTCCAGAGTTATGTGCATGAGCAGGTGACCTCGATCACCAAATTATAGCCTAATCATAGTCCAGATTATATCAAGTACTAAATGTTACCAAGAGTTCCAAAATAGGGGGATTTAACAAAAAAGGTTGGGAATTGCTGCTTTAATGGGTTAAGTATAAGTTTAACTTTAATATGCCTGCTCTACATGCAGGTCTTTATCTCTTTAGTGAAATGATTGACGATTGTTATTATTGTACTACTATTGTAGTAGCTGTAAAGATTACTGATTACCTGTTTTTCTATATTTTTGGATAGCCTTATTATACATACAGATAGAGTGTGCAATGGTAATATTCGACAACGCTTAATAAGATGAAACCTGTCCAGCCAACTCATTTGGCCTTGGCAGCAAGTGTGCCCGTGGCATTGGTCTTGATATGGTGGGTTTATAAACGAAAATCTGGACGGATTATTGATTCTGGAGTCAAAACCAATTTTCAAAGCAGTGAAGAAAGCTCAAATGAAAGCCATTCAATTTTGGAGGCTGAAACATTACAATCTGTGGGCGATCAATTTGATACTATTGTGCCAGTAGAATCAGCTGATATTTATAGTTCGCAAAACCGCAGCCAATCAACGGAGATGAAATTGTCCCCTGATGATGAAATCCACTCCTGTTCATTAGGAGATCATTATCTCGATATAGAATCTCGGATTGTCGAACCCCAGAAAAAAATAAATTACTCAAAAGATGAGAATAATCCTAACCCAGAAAATCAATTATCTGGGGAAAATATTCTGACCAATTCGACCGATGATTTCAAATATAATCAGCCTGCTTCTATCAAGGAGAACATTTCAGATGTTTGTAATGGTCAAGCAAATAAAGAGGAACCTCTTCCCCAAATTGCAAATACTGCATCTAGCATGCAAATTGAACATACTGAAAGCAAATTGTATACAGAGACAAATTTATTGGAAAATCACAGTCGTGAATCTGACTGTACTAAACCAAGTCCTATCCAAAGTGACGAAAGCCAATCAGCTGAAATAAACTATGCCCACTCTGATTCTTTGTTGACACCATCTGATGAATCCCAAATTCCTGTCGTTAGTGAAAAATTTGAAAATACAAATGAGACAAAATATGAACATGAAATGAGTACCATCATTGACAGTTTGGAGCTGTCAAGGGAATCTTTAACAATACAGGAAAATGACTGTACGGATGATATTGAATCCCAGTATATTCCTGTATTGGAGTCAACGGAAGAAACAAACGATACCACAGTTTCAGAGGAACATATTTCTGACAGGAAAAATGGAGTTTCAGACATTAGAAACGGCTCCTATAGCCCAGATTCTTTAACTAGTGAAGAATCGTCAGTAAAAACTGAAAATAGTATTGTATCGAACCAATCATCACAAAGAGTTTTAAATTGCACTGGTAGTGGTGAAGAAAGTGACGTTTCCAATAAAAATAACAATAATAACTGTGATCGAGATGGCAAATCCGTAACAGAAAAAATGGACACGACCGTTTTTGATTCCGTCAATGGTAATAAAGATGATGATGTAACAGAAGAGAGCACACAGTCTGATGCACAAGATGACAGCTCGAAAGTCAATGTAATGTATCTTGATATTGGCATTAAATATTGCAAACCAGTTTTCATTTTAAAATGCAGATTCCATACTTAGCTTGTTGTTAAAGAGGCACCAAAAATACGTGTGATCCAGTTATTCAATTTAAACAAGAGTCAATTTCTGTATACCTGTATTCGCAAGAGTATTGAGAATATTATAGTGATCTCAAGTCTTTTTGCTAGTTTTGCTAAACTTGTTTTGATGGAAAAACTGATGACGAATCAATTTCAAATTTTTATTAATTAAATATGGAAGGTCTGACTAGAAGGCTAAGTTCCTTAGAGTCCTATACTTGCCGTTTTATTTTTATTGAAAGGAACACTGCTCATTTCGTTTCTATCGACCTAGGCACCTCCATATTGCTTATCCATCAATCATTTTAGCAAATTGTGTGCTCTCATACCCAATTATTTATTTACCAATGCATGGCATAGGAGCATTGCTCTCTTGTTTCGATTATTCTTGCAAAATTTGTTATGAAGAAAAATCACCACTTATACCAAATTTGGCTTGAAAACAGTGGTTCCCAAAAATTTTGTTCCTGCGGCGCCAAATTATCTGTGAAAAAAACTCACAGCGCACTTAAACAAAAAAAAAATGCTTCTTTTAACTGAAACTCAATTTCGTGATCCTTAATGTGTACTTTATGCCTTCTAAAGTGTGTAAACATGTAGGCCTAAGGAATAAAGGCAAAAGGTCAACTCTTCTTTTTCATCTCTGTCTGATTTTCCCCTGAAATTCTAAAAAAAAATCATTCATGTTTGCGAAACTCAATCATATTTTAGGTATTTCTAACACAATTCTGTTAATTTTCGCAGCGCATTAGTGCACCCTTTGGGGCCGATGTTGTAAAAATTTGAATCACTTACTCAAATAGCAATAGGTTCTTTACATGTTTGTTTCATGAAAAATTATTCCTTTTATCAGGGAGAATCCTCACCGAACCACAGTAATGGATTCAATGAGAACAATTCATCTATGCACAATGGACCTCCTACAGAATATGAAAACAAGGATGAAGCTCAGATTTACCTGGAATTTCCTTCGGTTTGCATTTTTCTTCATTGTAAATTCTCAGCAATATCTAAATGAACTCGGCTTGATTTTCCTTTATCTGAGAGTATTTGCAGTATCTAAATGTGCCTACCGGTAATTATATGCAAATGAATTTTGTATGGTGTATTTTAGAATACCAAGTGGGCCTATAATCAGTTTGTGCTAAATTGTTCTGCCAGTGGTGATGTTTATGTAGTTTTTAAGACTAATCTTCATTATGTCATACTACTGGACCAATCGCATTCAAATGTAGATGAAGACTGCCCCCTGAAAGGCAATTTCAAATTTTTTGAAAATTTTCAAGGTTCTCTGGAGTCCACCCAAAATTTGTGCTAATTTAAGAAAACTAGTATACCGTCTATTGATACCAGTAAGCATGAGCGAACTGCATGTTCAATAAGAATTTTACATCCATATTAATTTTTATTGCTTTCTTGTCCTATTGACAGTTACAACAATTGCACTTGTGTGTGATGTTTGCTTATCAAGTTTTATAATCAGCAAAGTTTAGTATTAATGTAGTTTATGATTGTTCGAATTATTTAATTTCTGTAATAAGTTAATCTTATTAATATTTTATCCAAATGCATGGAGTCATTAGCTTCTGATGTATTTTAGGAAAAAGTTGGACTTTTAATCGGTAAAATGGGGAGAAACATCAAGCAATTAAAACAAGATTCAGGAGCAGAAATTATGGTCCATACTGTTCCTTTCAGAGAAGATATTCAAGTTCTTCAAATTACTGGTGAGCGGAGAAAATCTTTTTTCACAGGATGTTTCTCAATACCTAATTATCCATTTCTCAACAATGCCTCCTTCCTCTTCTTGTGAAAAAATACCTTTTTCGTTAACTACTGGACCAATTTTTAGTGGTTAAAGATTGTATTTTTTACTAGAAGGCAGGTGTGCAGCCAGGATTTTCCAAATGGGGGGATTACAATGTAATTATTAAATAGTGCGCCAAAGGTGCAATGTGCGAAGCGGAAAGGTGTTTAAAGAACTAAACATTATGCGTCATTAACAGCGAAACGCCATTGAATAAATTCCGATGTTATTTGTAGCTGTTCAATTCCGAAGATTTATTAATCGTCAACCGTTCTCCCTAGCACATGATTGCCATCAGGTATATTCATGCCGAGCATAAATAAAGCACAATTGGTGTTATTAACAAAGGGATGTTATTTGCCGACGTTTCAAATTCTAAAATCAGACTTATCCTAGAAATTCGAAACCTCGGCAAATTACATTGTTTTGTTAACATAGATTGTGCTTTATTTATCCTCGATCATTCTCTAAAATTTGACAGTAACTATATCGCGGTGGTCGCTTTACATTGTTTCATAAATAAGTTAACTATTGAATATTTTCAGGAGAGAAACTAATATAACAGCACTCTTGAGAGTGTTTTACATTCCTAAACTCTGTATTCCCCCCGCTTGCTGCGCCCCTGCTAGAAGGCTACTTCCAAAATTCCTACGGGCTTAATGGGATTTGTTTTTCGTGGCGGTTCCGCGTTCGCCGTCTGGTGGTCAGGCAAAGTCGTGAAGACTGCAATCTGCAATACTGTACCAGATTGCATACCCGTACTACTTCGGCCTTTGTGTTCATATATTTGAGCATCGCTTTCTTGTTTTCATTTGAATTGGCAACATGCAAAGTATTTTAAAATACTTTATATGTTTGACCAAGTAATTACCTATACAACTAACTTCACATAAATACATATCCATTTTCAATAGTTTATCATACAATGGAGAGTTGAATTGAACACATAGTCAGTCATTCATCTCTTTCTAATACTGTAATCAGATAGTTGATAGCCACAACTAGCCAGGAATAAACAAAGCATTTTGTATGAGACAAAGAAACTGAACGAAATGGAACCAACACTGTATTTTTTGAATTTTTAGTCCAGTCCAATTTGTATCTCAATTTTGAATGGAAACATCTTTACTGTTAAATAAATGAGGGTTATATTATAATATCTTAATATTGATCATAAGATATTTGAAAAATAAATTCATGTAGGAAAAAGCTCATTTCCAAGCACAAATATGAAGTTCCACTTTTAAATTTGAGATACCGGTAATTGTAGGGATTTACATACATCATAAGGTGTGAATGAGTTTATGAATGGGTTGTTTTTATTCTTATGTTTTGTACAAAGATTTGGGAACTGGGATGAAGTCTGTGCGTTGACTGTTCATACCAAATTTTATCTAATCCCATCAGGCCGACCCTCAAACCCAATTCAATTCTCCCTTCCTCTTTTGAAATGTAAAAAAATCCATTGAAAGCTGTTGGCTACGCCCCTGATATCTTCAATCTTCAACTCCTATATTGTTTAGAATAACATATGAAGTTCTGACTATTACGCCATAACACTGATGCATTCTGTCTCTTCCTTGATTTGTTCTTCATGCCAACGCGTGAGCCCATAGATAAAAGCTTTAGACATAGTGTTGGCATCGCAGGTGCAAAGGTCAAATTTCATTCCTCTTTTGAAATGTAAAAAAATCCATTGAAAGCTCTTGGCTACGCCCCTGATATCTTCAATCTTCAACTCCTATATAGTTTAGAATAACATATGAAGTTCTGACTATTACGCCATAACACTGATGCATTCTGTCTCTTCCTTGATTTGTTCTTCATGCTAACGCGTGAGCCCATAGATAAAAAGCTTTAGACATAGTGTTGGCATCGCAGGTGCAAAGGTCAAATTTCATGCTATAGGTCTACTGGTCCTACCAACAATAATTGCTCTCTAATTATATTTTGTAAGATATCAATGGTTGCTTGTACAGGGCCTTGTTCAGAGCAGAATGTATGATAACGGTCAAATAAAAATTAACAATTTTCCTCTCTTTTATGCAGGTTCTCATTCTGCTGTTGATATTGCTGCTACAAAGATCGGAAGAAAATTTCGAGAAGTTCCGCTAACTGAGTTTGATCCTGCAGGTTGCATGGGGTTCGGATCACAGGGCTCGATGATGTCATCACCAGGTGTGATGTCACCAATCGATTCACCAATGTCTCCTACTTTTGCATATCCTGTTCCTGAAATGACACAGGTTAATTTGTGACATCATATCGTAATATATTTTTATGGCCAAATATGATATTTGTAGATGATGGAACCGGTATTGTTACTTTTTTTTGAAAAATTGTGACAAAAACAAGAGAGTAGGGCTAATTTATTAGATGGACATGATAGTATATGACTAACTGCAGTCCCAATAAGTTATGCAACTTAACACTAAAGCCTATTATCTGATGATTTAAAAGCTTCAAGTCCCATCTACTGGTAATCTTGTATCTGATCAGCAAGCACTAGGTTAGTCGAATATATGGCAGACAGCAGACATTCTAGTCTCTCCAGTCTCAGCTTTTTTGTTAAATACTGAAAATTTGAAATTGATTGGTCAGGTATTTATGAAGAAAAGTGAATTTCACCTAACAATATCAACAAGCTAAACCCCAACAACAACGGGAATTTAGCAACACAATCCACATGTTCGTTACTTTGTGTCCAGTATTGATGCCTCTACTTTTCGAATACCTTGAAAATATTTACTGGATCCTTTGTTCTACTTTTAGCTTCGAATACCAGAAGGAATTCCAGTTGAAGTTGTTGTATCTGCCATTGCAGATTGTGACTGCATTTTTGTTCAGCAATATACTCATCCAACATTTCATGCATTAGCTAGTTTGGAACATGCAATGTCATTATGCTACTCTTCACCTCAAACTCCTGCTCTACTAAGCCCTGTTCAAGGTAATTCGCAGTTTTGTTTTGATATTGCAAAAATTAACTCATTGTTAAGCTATTATCTATTGCTCGTAGGTTAGTTGTGATCAAAGGCTAGATGTTGGGAAAACTTAAACCTGGCATTACAGTTGGTGCATCTTGCTAGGCGCTAAAAATTCGCTCGTCACCGTTGTCAAGAATACGCTCACCACCATATCTTCGATTACTGTGCGTGGGTTTGTAGGTACGAACTCCATGGGGTATAATTATGTGTGAGAGGATTGCTTGTCTCCTCATCACTGCAAGGTAGTTTGCGTAACTGCTTCATATCGTTAGTGGCATCATTCACCATCGTGTCCATGAACCTACCACATATAACCAGCTAATGCTTTTTGAATGTTTGTCAAAGATTATGACTTCGATTATCACTATTAATAATCTAAAATTTCAAGTCCTACTTCTGGGAGTTGAAAACTTCGCTGGGTATGACTTCTATACCAACCACCCTTTGCCATTTGAAAACAATTGAGTCACGCCCAATCTCAATCGCAGTTTCCAAGAAGTTTTATGAATATCAAAATATATAGTGTCAGTTGAGATATTGCCAGGATATCATTAGGTCCCAGTTAGTATATCATTAGACTTCTTGATATCCCTATCATATGTATCATATGAAACTTTACGATAGTTTTTCTTTACTCTGAAATAAGATAGTGATTGTTTTCATACTCCCTCATATATTCATCATTACTTAATTGTTTTTTTTTATGCAGTTGGTCTCGTTTGTGTTGCTGAACATCAAGATGTTTGGTATCGTGCTCAGGTCATTCATGCCAATGAAGATTCAAGTGAAATAACTATCAAATTTGTTGATTATGGAGGATATTCTACTGTACCTACTTCTATTGTGAAGCAAATTAGGTAGGTTTATTGTTCCAGCTCTTTACAGGTTTTTCATTTTTGTTTCTTCGTGGTCTTAGCCTATTTCTATTTGACTCTATGTAAAGTTTTTTTTTCATTTCGAATATATGAATTAGTGTCAAATTTTTCCTAAAAACGACCTTTATTAAATAGCACCAATTTGAAATTGATTGTACACAAATTCTTTGACTCTACTCAAAGTGACCGATTGATATTTTTAGAAACATGTTATTTTGACCACGTTTTAATTGCTGTATTTCAATTTTGAAGCAAACAGTATTGTGTTTAACACTCTTTCCTAATATGATGGACGGAGTAGGATATCTTCTCTACCTAATTATTCTTTTGAGTATTATATAACACTCCACTCATTTCCTGTGATTGAACTTACTAGCAGTTCATAAGACAAACGATACATCATGAAAACTGAAATTTGAAACTGATTTCAGTTCGTATTTCCTCTTCATGAGGTAGCTAGCTATATCGGAAGTAAACGGTGCAGAATTATTGTCTCATCTAGTCATTTTGTATATATTTATATTTTTCATATTTATAAATTTTCAAATGTTATATCTTCAGAGCTGATTTCATTACGTTGCCATTTCAAGCTGCTGAATGCTACCTTGATAATATTGCACCGCTAGAAGGTATGTTTATGTGATATTCCTCTGGAAATTTGTCTAAATATTTTCAAAAAAGTGTGTGCCATAGACATCCACATTGCTGGACTCCAAACGAACGACCACAGACTTTTCAGTTTTGCATTACTTACCTGATTTATTACAACCCGGGTGAAGTTGCCAGCATGAATATTTGAACCCGAGATTTTGGACTATGATAGGATATACATATTTATCCCAGAGAAGGGGAACGGCCTCTCGTCCGGCTACCAGTTCATGTTGGGTATGGGTTTAGTTGGCCAGTTATATGGTTTTAGATGCATGAACTTGATGGTAACCGCTAGTCGTTATGTGAATGTGGCAAAGAGTCCAGCAATTCTCTCACACACAATTATCCCCCACAGGATTCGAACCTGCAAACCCATGCAGAGTAATCATGGGTGCAATGGCGAGAGTATTCCTAATGCTTAGCACGATGCACCACACCGCCGATGCTAGCGAGGATCCATTTAGCTTCGGTAGCTCATCGTTTATCACAAGTCTCGTAACAACACTTATTTTAAGACGAGAAGGGTTACAGCATTGAATCAACGACTGTCTTACAAGAACTTTTAAAGGAGGGAGAATTTCATGCAAGAATATCAAGATATAGACCAGATGGAGTTCCTTATATCAGACTCTTTAAAAGGCACTCAAATGTGGTAAGTGTAGCTGTGTATTGCTTTCATTTGAGATTGCTTTAGAAATATTTTATTGGCTGGGTGATTTATGCTTATTTATTTCCATTATTTTTTTAGACTGCACTGGTCAACGAATTACTGGTGAATGAAAAAGTCGCAAGATGGGTTGACGATGAAACTGACTGCATGGCTGGAGTCGTTGCCACAAGTTGATTTACTCCCAAACTTTTTATTTATTGCCATTGCACGAACTATTTGATTTAGCATAATTTGAAATTTATCCAAGGAGTGGCGATTGCAGGATTCTTAAATGATCGAAAGGAAGGAATAATTGATCATATATGGTTTCAACTGCAAAGGAGTAATAACATGCATTTTTTGGTCGAGTGTTCTTCGAACTTCGAACTTTTTTCGTCGTGACCCAGTTGGCACAGCAAAATTTTTTTTTGACCCTCTGGAACTTCAAGGAGAGGGTTGTGCTTGCATATTATTGTGCACAACATCAAATCTTTGCCCTATTTCAGTGATGGTTGATAATCACTAATTGTTCCAGATTTTTCTTATTTGATCGATATTTTGTTTTAACATAAGTTGGTGTCGAAAAAGAATTTTCACACAGATGAGCGAGGACAATAGGAAGAAGAGTATATATGGCTGGTTCTGACAGTTATGGGTATCACGACTCACCGACGGTCGTATAATGTTGTTTTACATTTATATCCTTAGACACTATAACACTAGCGAACGACTGGAACTTGTAAAACATGATTCTTGATCAATGCTTTTAGTTTTAATCGGCAAAGACTTAATTTTCTGCATAACAAGCCACTCGTAGGGCATACTTTTGGTAGAAATGACATTTTTTATTCCATTTTCGCGATCATTTATTTGTTTTTTTTTAGAATTTGTGCAAAAAATCACAAATATTTGGCGAAGACTTCATTTCCTGCATAGCAAGCCATGGTGCTTTCCATTCGTAGTTCATACTTTTGGTAAAAATAAATTTTTTTTTTCATTTTTGCGATCATTTATTCGTTTCTTTTTGTTAGAACTTGTGCACAAAATCACAAAGTGATTCATATTCTTTGTTTGAAATAAATTTACGATAAACTTTGAAATTTACCTTGTAACCTCGATTCCACACAAATGCATAAATTCATATGGTAGCTTCAATCCTAACTCAAGCTGATTCAGGATGTCAATGTAAAGATTGATGCCAGAGACAGGAACCGATGCTTTGCCATATAAACTCTAATAATGCCTTCAAACTCTATAATATTGAACAACTTCAAAAATTCATAGTTCAACACTGTTTTATCCAATAACTCCCCATATTGTTTTTTTTGATGTTTCAAATTATTTGATAATACAAAAATAAATTTTGATATAAAATTAGCAAATTTGATAAATCTGAATTTTCATTTTCTAAATATGTGTTCACTTGTACCAAAATTCTGGATATTATGACCATATATTTGGCTGTGGAATTCGAGCACATCGTTCAGACTTTCCATTACTTTGCCTTTACAAAATATTTTCTGTGAAAGTTTTAGCATTTGCAGGCTTTTGCAGAAATTTCGATTTTGCATCTCATTCTCTCAGATATCTGAAATTCTCTACTCTCGATTCTAGATAGTTTAAAACTTTGACTCATACTCACAGCTTGGGGAATTTGAGTACGAGTGAAATATGCTGACACAAAATACGGTGAATATAAAATAAGACTCCTACACAAGTAAAAACTACTAATTCATATTATGCAACCTACGAACGAAAAAAACAACCTGAAAATGATATTCTTCATTTTGTTTCAAAGCAGGTTAATTACTATTTTGTAGTTTTCTGTATAGTTTTGGCTGCTTTTCGATCTGATTTGTTATATCTATCTATCTAATTTTTACATCGTTCCTGTGAATGTTATGAGCAAATTTTTTGACAAGCTCTGTTTCAAACACTGTTATATTTATGGAAATGTTCCAAATGTTGTAACTGTCACAAGCCAATGTTCAAATAATAATTATGTCGCATGTACTACATCCAGTGTGCTATTACAATCATTTCTTTTTCTTGAAATTTTTCATGTGTGTTGTGTGCTATTTAATATTTTTTATCCATTGTATTGATACAAACTTTGTTACAGATGATATCAATAATTTTGTACCTGGTTCTAGTTTTTGTTGTCTCTTGTTCATAGGATTTTTTGGTTCTTCATAAATCCCAATGTATCTGGACTAATTAATTATTTAAATAACTGTTCCAACACCTAAATTTGACTAGATGGGATATGGGTGTTATTACCTGGTGAAAAAGGATTTGCAGACTTTTTTGTTGATCAGATTGTACAATGTATTTGACATCTATTTTGGCCAGCCAGATTGAAATGTCATCATATATAGGATCTATTAAGACAATTCATATTAAGTGAACAACTTGCTAACAATTCCCATACCTGATTTGATAATCGGAATAGAGACCATGATTCGCCATATTATGATTATGTCGTCCTTCCTTTCCCCAGTGTAAAGATGAAAATCATATTCTAAATATATCCTGGCCAAGCATGAGGTGCAAAATTCTAATATCAAAATATTCTATCTTGCCCTGTTGGTTCAAAAATCTTGACATTTTGCCTGCACAAAATTAAGTCTAGCAGTGTCTGTTGTTTGTCTTCATCTTATCTAAATTTTGTGTTTTGTACATATTGTGATTTTTACTTTTTGTGAGTTTATCATTACCAATTTAGTGGAAGGTGGTAAAATTAGGAATAGAATTGTCGGTTTAGTTTGATCTTCAAAATATGTGAATAATCATTAAAAATTCAATTGAAATTGTAAATGTTCAAACATCTCACGACTGAAAAAACTACTTGCACATTTTGGTACAATTGTTACGCTACTGATTGAGTTCCTGTTCGGCTAACCCTTTAGTAAATGACTCTGTAGTTGCAAATTTCAACTTCAAAAGTTCAACAAAACTCCAGATTTGACCTTAAAAATTGCCTGCAAAATAATCCCATTTAGATTATTGGATTTAAATAATGTGAGAATGTATTTCAACATATTTATTTGCCAACTTGAGTAAAAATTGAATGATTATAATTTTACAACTGGATTTCTTATTGGCAATTTCTATTCTATTTATAAGCGTTGAAATGTTTTTGCTCATGTTTTTTTCAAAAATGATGTGATTGTCATTTTTTCTTGTCTAGTGCTCATCGCTTGTCTGCATGTTACAGTATCACATTGATGGTGCATATTTCGCTTCTTGCCGATGCAAAATTGCTTGAATACACTTACTTTTGTTTTATTGTGTTTTGTAATTTACCTGAATGATCAAAGTTTGAAAAACTGATCAAGGGCTGCCACTTCAGGTAGGTTTTCTTTATCACTAGTTCAATGCTTGGAGTCGTGAGGTTCTTCAGGTCCAACAAATAGCGCAATCGAATGTCGAACTCCATTGGAATAGGAAAATTCATAGCAAGATTGGAGTATTCTGAACCATATTGAGGTTTAGATTTTCTAACAAACTCTGTTTTTAGAGCTTGGATTTTAATCATGATTATTTGGAATATTCTATCACTAAGGTGACAACAGGTCGAGCATGGTTAAAGAATTCAATACGTAATTTTCGCTTGTGATTGGTTTCCCTATATACTTAATAGTAACTCGCCTTCTTCCTCTTCTCCAAATGTTTCACTTGAATCATGCCCGATTGTACTTCGATACATGTATCGCGCTTCATCTCGATCAGGTCGGAAAGGCATATTCGAACGTTGGGACCAAATACGTCATTTGCATAATACAAATTATGCGCAACCTGCTGGTCTACCGTGTCGTGGATTACGTGTTTTCCAGCAGCTCCACTTTTCCAGTGATGGAGAAATCAATGCTGATTTACAAATCCACCAAAAATAAACGGAGAACCTCTTAAAGTAGTTCATTTTTATATAATTTTATTCCAATTTCTTTTCTTCTAAATTAATCGAGCGAAATGACAGCATTTCCTCGACTGGAAAAATCTTGTATGAAGTCTGTTTTGAACTAATCAGTTAGAACAGATTATCCTATTAATAAGAAACTGATTAATCAAATGCAGAGTCGCCGCCTCTCGAACGTTCGTGGGGAATGAAAGTAATTAAATGGTTAATTGCTTCAGATGTTCGTTGGATCGTATCAATTTCACTACACTACAGTATTTCGAATTAGTTAAAGTCGATTCTGAACAGTCGAAGGAACTTCAGCCAGATATGACAATACTTTTTACGAGGCGATAGTCATAGTCAAGTTTATTTTTTCCATCCAGTAAAAAAAGTTAACATGCAAAATTAAGACGAATAAATAATATTGAATACACATTTCACTGGGGAAGGGAAGCCGCGGGGAACAAAGCTGGTTATCAAGCAGCGACACCCAAGGTTCAAATATCTAAATAAACATTAGCCAAGTTTTAGCAACTTGATAAACATGCAAAATTAAGACGAATAATATTAAAAACACATTTCACTGGGGAGGGGAAGCTGCGGGGAACCAAAGCCGATATATATCTACATTCTACGACGTACGATAAGGGGACGCGGTTCTCGCTAAAGCGGTTTAGCAGTAGCCCTCATACATTCCGTGCTTCCAATTGTGAGGAGTTTAAAACAAAAATCCGTCTACGAAGTTCTATATTCGCCATTTGTGTGTGTTGGTTTTGTTTTCGTGACACTACTACGCGTTTGTACATCTTGACATTTCCCAAAATGCAATTGAAAGCTTTGTGGCAATACCGAGATTATCAAATAAATACATGTTTAAGTTAAGGGCTTTTGAATTCACAGCGGTAAATGATGAATGTTTGATCTTTTCCATCGCTTTCTTCACTTTTATATTAACTGGGCGCTACGATCTATTTTTGTCCTCGTGTTGACGCACGTTGCGTCGAATGGCGCAACATGTCGTCAGTTTTTCTCGAGTCAATTTTTCGGTAACATTCCCATACCGTTTTAACTTCATATACATAAAAAAAAAAAATTTTAACCGATAGGAAAGAGAACAAAAGAAATTATTATTATGTATTACAGCATTCATAACGAACCGCTTCAAAAATTGCTTCAATCGGACATAGAAAGGCCCAAAACGACGCGTCTTTTCAATGCCCATACTCGACCGTACATTTCAAAAATATTTTTCTGATTCTCTTTGAGATGTGACGTCGCATCAAAACAAATCTCTCTCGCAACGCGATCATCAGCTGGTAGGCGCATGTTCTTTGTTTTGAAGTCTGCGCCAGTCATCTGTCGATTTGGCTGTGGGTGTCACTTCGTCTGAACATCGTTGTTGATCCAAATCGATTGGAAGTAAACAGGTAGTCCAGATTGTTACATCTTTGTTTTTAATAATGTTAGGTGATATCAGAATAACAAGTGATTATTATATCAACTTTTACAGTCATCAAGTTTACTATTTCTGTGTTTCAGCGCTGTGTTACGTTATTCAGATCAATCGATCGCTTACTTCTGTACTTGAGTTCGTTGACCTGCTTTCCAACTGTTGGTATTTATATTTAGATATTATCACGTATGCGAGGGTATTTGTTTCAAATTCACATAAAAATAGAATAAAGGAACTTTAGTTTAGAACATATCTGCGATTTAGCATATCAAATTTGAGGAACTAGATATACAGATATAATATAATCTGCTACCACCGGTCACCGGCGGTTGCTCAGTTCCTCAGTTTTACTTCTGTACTTATTCAGGTGTTCCACCATGTTCTGGTGAATACAGAAAATTGAAATCAAACAGTAAAATCAATCATTAATAGGTATTTGTATTTAAGTCAGTAGTTCAGAAATATCCTGTACTTCTGTACTTGGTTCTGTGGGAATGGCATCCATCCTTTCTGACAGCATTGAAAGTCAGAAGGTAGAGAGTCTAAAAACTGCTACTATAGCAGTATAGTATACTGTGAAACAAACCAAAATGAGGGTAACCCAGTTTGGTCCCATTACAGCATTAATGTTGCGCCAGCCTCTACTTCCAATTTTACTCTCATTTCCTTAGTTATGAGTTGTTAAGATCTAAATTATTATTATTAAACTGCATTTCAGTCCCATAATTATTGAAGAAAATATATATTGAAGTCTATGTTCGAAATAATGCAGATGGAGTGATGTATAATATGTCTTAGTCTTTGTATCACAGGCACAACTGTTGTGCCCATTTCTATATGTCATTCAGTGCACGATAATAATATTATGGAGTCTATCGGAGAATACGAATATAGCAGAAAGAATTTGATTGGCCACGGAGCTTTTGCTCTTGTATACAAAGGTCGTCATAAAAAGGTAAAGTCTATTTTACTTATACTTTCTTTATTACTGTTGTTTGAATGGCTCGAAATACAAATAGAATGCTGTGTTGAGAGAGTAGCCTTTGGCTATCGGGAATTAAATTTGAGTACAGCACTTGGATTTTTTGTGAGAAGTTTCACACATCTCCTGGGAACAGCTCTTCACACAAGCAGTGACTTGTACTTAAAGAGATTACTATATTTAGGACTAGATTATTTCTCATTTGGCATAATTTCACAAATTTATCACATGAAATTAACCTGAATTTGGGTGCTGGGGTATGAATACATGTATTTCAATTGTGTCATTCTTATTTTAAAATCAACTAATTTGCAGACAAAGCTACCTGTTGCCATCAAATGTATCAACAAGAAAAATCTTGGAAGATCAAGCACTTTACTTGGCAAAGAAATCAATATTCTCAAGGTTTGATTATAAAAGAATTTATATCTATAGTTGCTTGGTATGATTTCCAGTTGTCTATGTGTTCAAATGTAATCAATAGTTTGGATTTATCAACTGTTCAAATCCATAGTCTAGACATTTTAATTAACATTCAAAGATATTTATTGATGAACTTGCGTGACAATATTTCATTCCAATAATCCAGAAAGGCTTACAAAAATTCTGCTTAAAAAAAATTTTTTCTTCAGTTAATGTAAGCCTACATTTAAAAATTGAAAATATGTTATTTTGATTGTATAATTAATCAGTGTCTAAAATATGATTTTTCTTCTATAGGAGTTTCATCATGAAAACATTGTCCGACTTTATGAATGTGAGGTAGGTTATGGATAAGAATTCAATAACTATCTCACATCAATTTTAGAAAATTTTAGGGTTTGCTAATCTGACTTTTTAGGTAATCAAAAATGCATGTATTTGTTATTTTGATTTGGCTCAATTGTAAAAGGTAGTGCTTTAGGCTTCATTTCCTATTCTCAAAGTCAGTACCCGTAATGCTTCAAAATTGTTTCTTATAGCCCGATGTGCCTTATGAATGAATTAAAACACAATCTAGGCAATTTATTGAAAGCGCCTAATGGTCCGTAAAAAATGGCACTTCAACTCATATGTGCAACATAACTATCCACTCCAGTAAAGTATCTGTATTATTTGTACCGGGTTATATACCTTTCGTGCATAGCTATGCGTGAGCATTATAGTACTTCTCACAGTATATATGACATGTTGTAAATGGTGGTAATATGTGAGCACTAAAATGACCACATTTGATTTTATATGTAATATTCTTAAATTTACAATTTTTTTATTTAGTCATCTACACAAAGTTACTACTTAGTTATGGAGGTAAGAATATTTCTTTCCTATATTTATGTAAGTTATTGAAACAATTCTTCACTCAACTTTGTATATTTATATCTTATTTCAGTATTGCAATGGTGGCGACTTAGCAGAGTATTTACAAGGTAAGGGAATTATATATTGATTTTGTAACAACTGAGATGATTTATCACCGTTGCAAACTTGATGATATTTGTTAAAGGTCATTCAAAAATGATTTGTCTGAATCCTGTCATTCACAGCCTGTGTTATCATCAAATATTATAATTGCGAACAGATATTTCAATATTTTGCTTTTTATAGATTTGCAATATCGTTAAATGTCAAAACTCCCTCATTGTTTTAATAACATTTAAAATCTGTTTTCAAATTTATCTTTTCAGCTAAAGGCACTTTGAGTGAAGACACAATGAGACTTTTTTTACGACAAATTGCAAATGCAATGAAAACGATGCACGAACGTGGGATTTTACATCGTGATCTAAAACCCCAAAACTTACTTCTTTCACACAAAATTCCAAATCCAAAACCACAGGATATTGTCATCAAAATTGGTAAGAAGGTTGTTTGTTATTGAAATCATACTTTTAAATATACCTGATATGATATGATAACAATGCATATGATTGATATACATTGTTTCAATCTATCACTTAGCTATGAAATTTGAACATATGTGCAAAATATGACATATGGTAGGAATTTCATTTATGTTAATCATAGAGCCCTTTAAAATATGAACATTTTTTGTATCTGGAAATGACACCATGATTCTACAGTATGACCGTATTTGATTTACTTAAAAATATTATACACTTTCAAAATCTTATTTTGATCTTAATTTTTAAAAAAGAAGAAATTTTATGTGCTCAGAAATTACATAATTCAAAACGATATTGCAATGATTTGCTGTACAATATGGCCTGAGGTCATTAAAAATCTGTTGATAAAATGTTGATTACTTTTTAAAAAGAAAGAAACTATCTACTTTTGTGAAGTAATTGAACAAGTGCAATGGAAATGACTCGCATCATTTTAACTATGTATAGTTTGATGGTTTTTCAATACATGAATTTAGTCTGATATAAATAACTGTGTGTATATATAGTAAGAAGAAACTTGTATGAAAAAATAGGTCCAGTTGCTTGTTTTATTCTTTCATTTGGGCAGATGGTATACGGTTATAGATGTATTTGCATTTTAAATTTAAAGCTGTTATATTTGCCCCATGATTTTTTTTATAGAATAGCCACCAGCTGATATTATGTGCTTGTTATATGTTGAATTTAGGATTACAGTCAATAATGAATTCCACATGAAATGCATGAATGATTTAATGACAAAAATATAATGGATTCTAAGATAACTTATGTATATGATGACAATGAAATTTCATATATAATATAGTTTTCACTTTTCAGTATATTTTTCCATTAAAAAGATAATTTCAGCTTTTGGAAAACTGGATTCCCATACAGACTTACTCATTAAGTGATCAATGCAAAATTTTATGCTTTGCTCTTTAAAATGTCCCTCTCATTGTCTGAAGTATTTGTACAACCCTTGAGATTGCCTAAGATTAGTACTCATTGCTTTTAAACAAATTAAATTCCTGTAATCTTTTAATTACTTTAAATAAAAGTCTCTTTTCTTTTAATTGAACAGCTGATTTTGGCTTCGCCCGTCACCTGCAAAGCAACATGATGGCTGCAACGTTGTGTGGATCTCCTATGTACATGGTGAGATAGCAATTAGGGATTATTAAATTGAAATTAAAATTTTAAATATGGGCCAAATATGAACGTAGACCAAAAGCATATTATTCTCATTACCGGTAATAATCTTAATTTCATATTGTTAATAATGGTTGGGTTAGTTTTTTTTTATCAGATTTGCAATGCTATTTATTAAATTTTATTTTCAGTAATAAAATTTTAAAATGGAATGGTCTGAGCATTTTGTTTCGTGGATATTTCACAGATATTAACTTTATTTTGTTATTAAATTGGCTTATTTTTATCTATATCCTATTATGTGGTTAGCAGTATCAACAATAACACTGGTATTGCCTTTGGGCGCTCCAGAAGTACTGTATGTATACCAATATGGAGGTAACTAATTTTGTTCACCTACTTAACATCAAGTTGTGTAATGGGACTGAAACCTATTGGAACATCGAAATAAAGTTATGGCCTAAACCTAACCTGGTACCCATATGAAGGGAGTAGCTGTCTTTGTATATTCAGCCATTTAGCAAGTAAACAAAAAGCATAGCAAGAAAAGCAATCAGATATAACTAACACATGCTTGAAGCTCCTTATGTGAGAAAAATTTGGGAACATTTGTTATAGCAAATCTTGACATCCTCGTGTGTATTTAGACTGTTTTTAATGTTATGAAACGTGTTACGACTATTACATTGGTATTATTATTTTTGTAGGCACCAGAAGTTATAATGTCAAAGCAGTACAATGCTAAAGCAGATTTGTGGAGTATTGGAACCATAATATATCAGTGTGTTGTTGGCAAAGCACCTTTCCAGGTAAATTTTATTTGGTAATTTTTCCAATGCATGACTAGGCATGTAGAATATAGACGATCAATTTTTAATTTTATAATAAATAGTGGTATTAAAGAAAGGTTTCATGAGAATTTAGAATTGCTGTTTTCTACAGTATTGGATCTATTCAGGTTATCATGAATCGATATTACGCAGCAATAGTAATATTAAACTATTTTCCGTTATATGTAATATTCTTAATCTTGGTTAGATTTATTTACATCAAAATTTTTGTGTGATGCCGTCCATCTATTGTAAATTTCCACATTTCAATTTTTTTTATGATATATTGGCTTACATATATTCAGTCATATTGTATATGATTAAATTATGATTTTGAGCTTTGAATTCTCAAAAAAATGTTTCAGATTTTCATTTGCTATGTTGTGACTATGTTGCAATCATGATACCTATTTTATAATGATACAGTAGTGTTATTAAATGTTATTATTAATGTGTTATGAATAATAATATGCAAAATCATGCAAATGTCATGTCTGAGTCAAAAGTCGTTAGCAAAATAGTCGCAGGATGTATTTAGCAAAGTTAAAATACTTACACCTGGTATCACAACATTCTCCGAGGTGTAATAAATTGGGTCGGTTTTATCTTTCCGAATTCTGTTTATTAGTGACTGCATATCCAGGGCTGCTTTTTTTGTGCTAAAACGTGAAACTTCCTTCAATTAATTTGATTTGTTTTGTAATTTGACACTATTGAAAGAAAGCTTTTCAACTTTTGTTCTTTGTTCGTATTCCGGTTCCTTCTTTGATGTTCAGTTTATTGTTCTTATGAGTGATTATCTTTTGCAACTTTCTATGGAGCAATCACATACCTTTCCTTTGTATTTTATCTGGGAGATTTTGCCTTAATTGAAATTGCAATCCCTTTTTATAAACTTGACAATGGGCATTTACTAATTATGTTATATGATATATTTTATCTGGGAGGTTTTGGTTTATTAAAGATTGGTCGATTGCAATTACTTTTTATAAACCTTAACCAACAAACAACAATTATATTTTGTTTTTTATCAATATATACACTTATGCAGTGATACCACAGTAGTCGAACATAATTTGTTCAGGATTGGTGTTCGACTATCGATTTGTTGAGTACTTAAGCTACTAAGATTAGCAACTCCGGTGACGTCATCTCACTCAGCAACTGCTCGGGTATTTGAGCACCGAATTTCCGATTTATTTCATTGGTTGGAATTTTTTAGGCGACTGCCGAATTATTCGAGTATTGTGAGTCACACAATTTGTGACGTTCGACTACTGAGATATCGCTGTACACTTGCTTAGTCATTATTCACCAGCTAACTGTCTATTTGACCTTTTATATTTACAATTGCCTTCACTTCAAGCCCATTCATGTAATGTTTTAGATATTTTCTAACTCACAACCTATCATGCCATCGTATTTACCTGTGTGTGAATTGCCGCATATAACTGTGTTGTTTGCAATTATAAAGCAAACACCAATAACCATTGAAATACATATTGAATTTCGAACTTATTCTGATCATGCTATTGTGTGCTGTTTGTATATTTTGATTTGTATAGAGATTATGCTGTATGATACCGTGTTACATCATTTCAATATACAATCAAATAATCAATCAGTAGTTTGTCATAGATTACTATTATGTCTGTCATGATAGGATTAAAAGTTGATCAAATAACGTTACGCTTTTAGATCCCTTGTTGGACACGAAGTGGACCTATAGATCATTTTAGTAATATATTGTTGTTGTTGTTAGAATTCTTTTTCTTATCATTATAAAAAAATCACTTTTCTCTTTAATAATTACTGGACCAATTGCTTTGAAATTTTCAGTGGTTAAAGATTGTTGTTGTCTCTAAAAGATTTTACTTTCATTTATTTTAAAAATTTCTGTGTGCTCTATGCATCTAATTTAAATATTGCGCACCTTGTGGCAGTTCATTGTGTTCTGGTGGTCAGTCGAAGTCGTGAAACTGTAGTACCGGTACTTTGAAAGATTACATACCGTACTACTTCGTTTTTGCCTTTGTGTCCGTATATTCTAGCATTGCTGTCATGTTAATGTTCATGATTGCTTGTTGGTATAGAATTAGAGCAAATTTGAATTTGATAGTCCACAACGGAGAATTATAATGAAGACATTTCTGAACTTGTTGCTTAAATTTGAAATGTATTTTTCTCATATTTAGGCAAATACACCTCAGGAACTGAGATATTTCTATGAACAAACAAGAAAAGTTGAACCCAAGTAAGAATTTTGCACTATTTTTTTTTTATTCTCCGAATCTTTTTTGATTCAATCTTGCTTACAGAGGTATTGGAATGCTAGATCATTGTATTTTAATAAACAATATTTTTTAATCAATATATATATTTAAATCATGCTGATTTAATAACTCTTCACATCATATGTGTTATATATTAAATTCTTCGACAGCTTCGAGTGATAATTGTTCATCATTAAAGTCAATGCCGAGCATTACTAAAGTTTTACAAATTTTTTACAGTCAAGAGTCAAGTTTCAGTATCGCCCTCATTTATCAAATAAAAAAGTTTGATTTTATTACTCTAATGTAATGATTTGAAACATAATTAGGATTGAAAGATAATTGAAACAATGATATATGAATTTTGCTTGATAAATAATATAATTTGATAATGCTAAGTTAATAAATGATTTTCTAGTCTTTGCTCTGCTGTACTATTACCTATAGTAGGCGACAAGTAAATATATCTCAGTATTACAATTATTTATCTACGTGGGTATTTATTTTCACAGAATTCCACCTGGTACATCACCCACATTACGTGATCTTTTGTTGAAACTTTTAAAAAGAAATGTGAAAGAAAGAATCAACTTCCTGGATTTCTTTAATCATGAATTTTTGCTCTCATCCAAAACAAAAAGTTGTAAGTGGACAATTATTTGAAAAAGTTTTCATCAATTTTTTGGTCAATTTATTTCATAAAAATCACCTTACTTGCTAACAAAAAGTGTATATGTCTTTTTTAGCTGATATCATATTGTCTGTAAAATGCATAGATTGGCAATGTCAATACTCTAAAACATGATTGATTTAATTTTTTGATTTATTTGTGTTTCAGCTTCTCCAGTACCGGTTCCCAATCGCGTCAACAGTTTTCCAACGAGTCCAAATTCGAGCAACAATTCAGATCCACGAAGTATTATCGCTGAATCGCCTCAGGTATTATTGTCAGATTTATATCATAAAATTATTGTTTTGACAATTAGAGTTGAAATGTCACTTTGACTTTGAAATATAATTTTATTTATGTAATCTTGTGATCACAGAAGACGACGATATCCACTTATACATTGTGTTTTGTTTGGGTTAAATATTTATCCTCTAAATAATAATCGTATATTTATAACACAAAGTGAAAGGATGGCCATTATTGAATTAGCCCTTCTGAGGTCCATCTATTTTGTGAACTAAAGTTAATTATAACCTTATGCTCTGCCAACCATGAACCCACTATAAATCAGAGAATGTTTGTTGTTATGTATTGTTCCAAAATCGTGGTGAATCAATTATTACCACAAATAATAAATATAACGTTATCAGAAGTGGAAAATTACAACTAAAAATACAACAGTTTCTCAATTGCCAGAAACTTGGATCAATTTTTTTTTAAATTGAATGATGATGATTTAGTATTCGTTTTAAATTAAGTTGTACAAGATACTATTTTTAATTCATCCGTTCGTAATACCTAGAACACAGGTCTTATTCTCCTTGTAAAGATTTAAATTTTGAAAGTGAAACTGTAATGATATAAACATGTGACTCAATTCATAACATCTTTATTTTTAAGTCTCGTCATAATCATGCATTAAATTTATACGATGATAGTTTCGCATAGTTACAAATATGGAAAATCTCCCATGTTGTGAGTAATACTTCAAAATAATATATTTCCCGTAGAAGGCTTACTGATAGGAAGTAGGCGTGTTTGCGAAAAATTGATGACGCAATCCAGCGCCGCTTACGTCATATCGTTTTGATTTGGTTCTAATTTTCTACATTGTTTAAATATGTTTCTTTCAAGCAAGGGCCATAGATACCTTATACTTTTTCAGCATACTTTATCCATGGCTTATGCTTGATCTTATATAAGGAAAATAAAAATTTTGTATGACTGGAATTGCATCATCCAATTTTTTTTGAGTGATACTATATTCGTGAAATTTTTAAAATACTTCTTATTCAAGGTCAAAACGGGAAACTACTAATTTTAACTCAAGCAAATATATTTTTCTAAAGTTTATGAGAAATTTCTAGTCACTGATTAGTTGTGTGTAGTCATTTCCTGAAAGTGAATGATGGTGCAGTAATATCTGGCAAACATTTATGATCACAGCGTACTTTTCATAATGTAAATATTATACCATATAAAAATATAAAAATTATGGATTGAGTACTATTTTGTAATGGGATACATTACACATAAATTTCATAAATGTCCTTTCCTTATACAGACAAATTAGTTTTATTGAATTTGCCAGGAAATTGGTTGTCATGACGTACATATTGACAGCCACAATCATCAATCGAACTCATCCCACATCACGCCCATCTCACGCTTTGTTCACGTTATATTGAGCTGTCTCAACTGGTACAAGTATTGACGAAATCACATTGCATTGCCTTAGGGCACAAATCAATATTTTATAACACTCGCTTAAGATAGACGAAACATAGAGAGTTGAAACGAGACACCGCGGAAGTAACCGCATTCCTATGTTGTTGTCATCTGTTCAACTCGCACTGGTTTTATTTCACCATGCTTATGACCTTTTGGTTAATGACAGATAACAGGCAGAGATCACTGCTTATCTTAATGGGCCTCATACTCAATAAATTTCGAGAATTTGAAAAATATCCAGTACTTTGCAATAGGTTCATGGTGAATTAAACAAAAATAATAAGATTGAAAGTTACTTGTGGTGGTATGTAATTTTTGATTCAATCGCTTTTAAAAAAGCGTTTGCCAATGATATGACCTTGTTTAGCATATTTTATCATGCATCAAAAAATTTCTGTAGCATGCAAATAAATCTATGTCATATGCTTTGACATTGGATTGATGGCATATTGATTTGTAACATTATGATCGCCTTTTTATTATAGAGTAGGCTATGATTTAAAATTCTGAAAATGAAAAGTTTAGTTTCTGTTTTTTTGTTCTTTATTCAATTGAAAAATTGGGCTGTCATTTGAGATATCACTGTGCCATTGTCACCTGCAGGGTATCATGCTTTTAATGCATGGACACCATGACATGATAGATTTGAAGCACACAATTAATCAACAATTTAATGTAAATTTATCTTTGATCTTTAGTTAAAGAAAAGCATTGAGCATTGTTCATTGGTCACTAATAATATATCATTAGGAATTTAATATTGTTATTTTGTTGTCCTTATCCTATTCTATTTTTAACACAAATTCCTTCGTTGCAGAGGATAACAGAGTGTTCCCCTTCAGAAGGTGATCCTTTGTTTTTGCGGCTTTCAACGTCCAGTTCACAGGACTCTGAAGACTTTGTTATGGTATCCCACCCCTTCTCATCAAGTAAGAGCAATTTCCTCCCATATGTTTTAGTTGTCATGGAAAGAGAGCAATTTTTATTCTCTCTAATAGGAGAGAAAGAGTTATCTCTTTAAAAAAAAATTAAAATTCTCTCGATTTGCGTTCTCTCTTATTCTCTTTGTCTTCGATGACTCTCGATTTTACTTTTCTCTCATATTATTTACCTGCTTGTTCTTTGTTCTGCAAATCCCAACGGTACTCAAAATTGCAATATAAAATTGCTGAGTGCTATAATATTGAGGTCATCGGGATAATACAATGCTCATAATAAGCTTCACACAGAGGGCATTCTAAAAATAGCAATAAATTCTAATAGGGTATGTGAATTATAACATGGTTGATTGGTTGCTTTGAATTATTGCATAAATTTGCAATTTTTCATTGGAAATATCTTTAAATGAAACTGATGTCCAGTATTTCATTCAAAACTGAATAATTGAATATCCAAGATTAAAAAATTTCATAAAAAATCATGGCGTATCATGGTGAATTTCATAATATATATATATCAATATTTTGCTGCAATCCAAAACAGATTACGGTAATATAAAATTATTCATATAAAAAATTCATTATGCATACTCATTTTTGAATGTGTTGTCAACCTAATAATGTTTTTAATACCATCTAACCTCTGTTCAGATGATAGCCTTAGCACTGCACACAATACCAACAATAGCAATGGTGGGAATGATAACAAACGCACAAAATCATCAAATTCAAGTAATTCTCCAAGTCAGAATTCTCGACATCAGCACAGGAAAGGTACACTACATCATATTTTGTATGAAAATGACTTGAAAATTTAAAGTAGAACAGAGAATAATGGTTGAAATATTAGTTCATAATATACTCGAGGAAAATTTGAAAAAATAATATAAGCTTAGCAAACGATACATATTCAATAAGTATTCAATAATTCCATTATTTTTAGGTTATTTTACCCTATTTGTATGAAATGTGTAATCTGAGCAGTGCACATAGCTCCGAGTCACATTTGGCTGTGCAAAAAACTCAATATGGCAATGTTGTATTTGTCTTCTAAATGATGCATATACATTATTGTATATTTGTATTCATTTATGTAGTAAGCTAAGTAGTGGCTATTGTTACAACATCTCATTGAATAGTTCTATTTATGGATAATGCACAATGAAGTATAACTAATGACTTTTATTTTACTTAATCTAGACAAATCCCAAATGTCCCCAAGTCACTCTTCGAAAGCTTCGGACTCGATACAGCGCTTGCCAAGAGAATCGAGTGTGCGATCTCCATTCCTAATGCGGAGAACGAGTGCAGGAAGTCCACTCACTGTAAGATACTCTGCGGCTTCATTGCGACGTCGAGCAGGAAGTGGAAGTGACTCAGACGTCAGTACAAGATCTCGGCCTTCTCCTGTCCCAATTCCGGTTCCGACGCAGGTAGATTTTATTGTTTCGCATGAAATTTCCTATGAATAAATCAATCTCAATCTCACATCATTGTCGCTCAGCATAGTGAATTAATCCTTAATTTAGATGTGGAAAACTTGTATTTTTTCAGCTTGTAATTAAATTTCAGTAAAGTTTTCTGTTTAATTCATGTTTGTATAAATTTGTGAAATTGAATTCATTGACTCGGAACTTTCATTTCTATACTGATTTGGGGATGACATTCTAAAAACACTTTTAAAATATAGGATCAAATTTGGGATATGTAGTGTTAGTATATAATGACATTTTGTGAAAAAAATGACAACGTGGATATATGGATAGTAGTACGCGTCATCTTCAACCTCCCATGGTATATCCCTCGGAAATAGCAGGGTCTTTTTTCAAACTTTTCCCTTTAAAATGTAATAACCTTAGTAACCTTTTACCACAACTCTCGTAAACATCTTACTTCAAATATTCATGCTATTCGAAATACCAGTGTCAATAATATTTACTAGAAAGAAGAACTAACTTCTGTCAACCACTTATTTGTTTAATGACGATACTAAAGTAACCATAATATGATGGGAACATTGAGTGGCAAAGCATAGCGTCATAAATCCTTTGTCTGCCGTTGTTATGTTAGGGTGTGACGTTGAACAACAAGTGGTTTACGAATAATAATTTTTTTTATATAAGGATTATCTAGGTTTTATGCTTGATTTTTAATCTAACTATATTTGATCCCATATATTTAATTTGATAACTCCGCCTTAAAATTGCATATTGCATCATTTATATATTACTTTATTGTAATTTAAGTCAATAAAATGATACATAATGTCATTCGGTTTACACCTATTTGTGTTAGGCAAATAACAAAGTTCTGAAAGTATGATATCAACGCAATAATAGTAAATGTTATGATCCATTTTATGCATTGAAAGAGATGATTGTTTACCATAGTTCGATTCATTCCCTGGCCATTGACCCCAAAAATATTCTTTGTATACTTTATCACTGCAAATTTTCCGATACGTGTTTTGTGGTTGTCATCGCGAATAAATGGGCTTATAAACTGGTTTAAATGCTCATAACCATCATTCTGGTTCACATTATCTATTTCACTTGAAAGTAGTAGTAGGTAATTCTAGCTTGGTCATCTTATCCCATGTTTTGTTAACTGAATATATTGAAACGTATAAACTAAACATTATTTGTTTATCTATAGGTTGAAAATTATGAAAGAATCGAGCGTAAAAATTCCATGTCAAGTAATAGTTCCATATCATCAATAGAAGATAGAAGTAGGCTACGATCTCAATCCATGTCTCCATTATGCATTGATGGTGGAATTCAAAGCATCGAGCAAAGTGGTGGAATTACAAGAACAAGCAGTAATCAGGTATACATTCTTGCTCAGATAGTATTTCTCGAACTCAGCCTTCGGCCTTCCAGGGGTCCACGGACTGGTTCTCAGGGGACCACCTTCACTTTCAGGTATCTTTGTCATGACCACAATAACTTCAGGTCAATTGATTGCGATTTGTTTTATTCTTGAACTGTAATGCTTTTATTTTTTCGCACTTGTTTTTGGAGTTATTTATTATTGAACATGGTGGTAAACATAAAGGTAACTGATAGAAACGCACTAAAAGCAAAAATACCTATATTTATAAAATGGGGCGCAAGTGTTGAGAGTCCCTAGAGTCACAGATAGTGAAAGTTCGGAAACCACTGATTTGGAAAATCATAATCCTTCGTTTGTAAAATACGTAATTGAAGATGCAAGGTTTTATTGGATTGTTAATCAACTTTGATCGTAAATACTGATGCCTTCTGTTCGTTTTCTAAAGAGTTTGTCAAAATCTCCGTACATTGGAACACCAAGTTCGTTTGAAAGTTCATCTGCTTCTCCTGCCGCCATTCGAAAACCTAGGCGACTATCTGGTGCTACCCCGTCTGAATTTTCACCCATAATGGAAAATCCATACGATTCTGGAACTACAGTTACAAAAGGTAAGTTAATGAGATGATATTCAATCATTCTAAACTGTCTTTATTTTTTGATTTTATACTGTGTGCAAGTAGATTCTCATGATACAATCTGGTTTTGCTGGTTAAAAATAACCTATTTGGAATGCTGCTACATATTATATAAAGCCGTAAAATAATGATCTAGCAGTCATCACTCTAAGCGCATATAGCTAATTATATAGTTTATTATTACAATCCTCCTGTATATTGTTTTGACTACCAACTGGCATTTCGTTTGAGATTTAGTTTAATGGTGAAAAAATATTAAATTTGAAGCTTTGTAAAATTTGCTCTGTAAAAAGAAGATCTGTAAATGCGATTATTTTTTTAATTTTTCTTATTTTTATTTCACATCATCAGCCAAGTTTGTGAACACTCCACCTCAGTCGAATCGTGTTCGTGCCATATCTAATTATGCTGTTGAACGTCAAATGACTAGAGCACAAACTGTACCTGATCTTGGAAAGCTTGAACAAAGACATCCAAGTGCCATGGGCTCCACCACGTTACCAAGGTAAGTCGGAAAAAGATTTCTCACTGAACACAAAATAGGCTTATGGATCGATTTGATTTTCTTGTGGCTATAAAAATTTGCTTTCTTCCTACTGCTACACAGATTGCTTTCAAATATTCAAAGTAAAAATGTCTTCTTTTTTTTATTCTATGCACTTCGGGTGCCCATTGTTTTCACTTAAATTTTACAATTTGAGAATTTTTCTGATGACTAGCATTGCCCAACAGACACTATACACTTATAGTAACTTACATTATCCCCTCTGTATACAAAAGAATTGTACTCTTTTGTTTTTGCAATAATCCTTAATGAAATTTGTTGCAATGCAAAAAAAACGATTTCAATCTTTAATCATACACAGGTCGAAAAGTTCCGCAGGATTGTCAGAACAAGTGATGCGTATTTTGTTTGGCGAAAATGCTCTCGATACTTCATTTCATCGCAGAACTTTTGGCATTTTACCTGCCAGTCTTGCCCATCGAAATATCGCTGCAGCTTGCCAAATATCAGGTATAGGTGATGCTATTTTATAGATTGTTCGTATACTTTTGATCATTAATTAAAACATACTTTAAAAAGAAGGTTGTTTCTGCAATATTTTTTACAAAAAGTACAAAATTTTGTTTCACTGTATTGAATTAATCCACAATCATAAATATGGATTTGTTCACAGGTCACACTCTGACATCATCTATAACTCCACCAAATTCGCCGCAAGATTGTCAAGCATTATTGAAAGTGAATCGCAAAAACGCTCTCTGGACGCCACCTCGTTATGTGCAAAGTTCTGAACCAACAATACTTGAACAAGCCAAAAAGTTTTTTCCCGCTGACACAAGCAATGGATCAGGTATAATAATTATTTATTGTTGAAATAGAATTTGAAATCAAAATTACTCTTTTGTTATGTCAGCTGGCTTGCGGTGTTGAGGAGACTAGAGTCATTTACTCGACTCGAGTAGTACTCGAGCCACATGTAAGCCGACAAGATATCTTAATCACATGGCGAACCTCTCGTTCGGCTACCCTATTGGAAATGGCAGTATAGTGATGCCATTCATAGATTTCAATTCTGGAAATAATGAAACACAGATATAATTCTCCTAATTTTTCTTATAGGAACTCCCATGAACAGAAATGTCAATTTCATTGTGGGAACTCCGCCTTCTCTCACTGATGCATTGACACCACCTATTGGCAGCCCAACATCAAATGACAACGGAATATTGACTGGAAATGCAAGATTCCGTAAAGATTCTCATAATGTAAACAATGACGGTAAAGAATCTCATGTAGATGCTTCTGATCATCTTAAGGAACTCGAGGATCAAGTGCTCAGATCACAGCTCGATAACTCAGCATTATTAAGTCTTCGGGGCTTAGATACTTTTCCAGGTTTTTCTGACTCTGGTGTGGACATGTTGTCACCAGAAGATGAGGGTCAGGTAAGCGAATTTAATTTTAAGTTTCTTTGAAAATATGTAGTGTGTTTATCAGCACTTTCAAATATCATTTAAATTCTTGATAAGTTCAAGATGAGAAGTTACGTCACATGCGTAGCAAGCATGGTTGTGACTAGAGCTGTGGAATTGACTCAGACCTTTGACCCCAAACTCAAAATCATTGTTGGGTAGACTTGAGTCATACTCATCACTACTCCGAGCAATTCCAAAAACAACTCCGACTCATGGTTGACAAAATTTTAACGCAGAATCCTGATTTCGGTTTGAAAGCAATTTTGACTTTCGCTCTATCTCTCCCTTTCCTGGGAAAACAAATTTTGATCACAAAAAATCTGGAAAATTTGGCTCAGATTGCCATCCAACTTCAAATTACCGTTAATTGACTGTCGGTGACGTCGAAAACACTGGAATTGTTCGCATTAATTTAAATACTCTCAACCAGAAGAATTTCAAATCCAATTTTTCTCAATTCAGGCCTCAGAAGTTCGTGAGCTCCAATTTTACTGTCGGTTGTCAGATTGCATTAGTGAAGTAGCAGAAGAACACACTACACCCCTTGCGTGTGGTTTTGTTCCCGATATTACTTCATCTGCTAAACACTGGGATATGTTCGAAGGTGATCCACTGCATCATGTCACTCATAAACAAAGGTAATTTTTTTTGAAATTTCTTAGAAGGTTTTCTGGTTGGGCTTGGCGATAGGATCATACAGAATTTTTACACAATGGCGAAAACTGCCTCTCGTTTGGTTACCATGTCTGGTATGGGAATAGGTTCTAGTTGAATGGACTTAGCATTAGGAACATGCAAGGTTTTCCAGTACATCTGAAACACAAAACTGGTTAACTATTCTGATAGTGACAACGGAAGATTGCGGTTCGCCATATGATTAAGCCAGGGTTTCTCAAATTGAGCCCTTGGCCCACCAAGGACAGAGATACGGTTCTCTGGGGGCCATGAGCAAAGTCCTCCATTAGGTACCCCATTGGCTACATTAATTTGAATCAAATTGATAGTGAAATGTTTAATTTGCTGGCTATAATTCATTTATTCTTCTACTTTCGTTTGCTGTCCTTTTATTACTGATGTTGCACTATTTTTATAAAAGAGCTACAAGTGTGTAGAGTCCATTAATGATAGATATAGATCATGAGACTTCAAGAACTGCTGGATTTAGCTCTCTCATCAATCTTTCTCTCTCTCACGATATAAAAATGAAAATTGTATTCATATTATGTTTCTAATCAATAATCTGAATACAATTATTTTATATTCAGACAATGTGAACAGCTGCTTTTATATTTGCGAGCATTGCAAATTCTTGCCACTGCTTTACATACAATAAGGAATAAAGTGAAAATGGGAACACTGAAAGTCACCAGTAGTATTAAAGAAGGTATTGTGTACTGAATTTTTCATTTCATTTCGGGTTAGCAATGTACCATGTACCTCAGTTTGGTTCATAAAGACTATGAGACCACGTTTTTTTCATTTAGTGTGTTATTACTTATCGATCTTAAGATCGGTAAGTATGTTGATAGGTATTTGTATGTCTGTGTGTTAGATGCACGCGATATCTCACGAAAGCGAGGTTGAATCTGCTCCAAATTTTGCATGTACATTCATCATGGCTCGGATCAGAGGCCTATTGATTTTGGATGGATTATGTCTTATAATTAGCGAGTTATTAATTAATTAGTGATGGGACACACGGTGTCACTATGGAGTAAGACCACTGTTTTGTGGGATCCCCTAACTTTCGATCGATAAGTTTTCGGTTTCTAACTGATATTCTAGTTTATTCTTTGTTGAGTCATAATTCTTACAAATTTTCTGCACTCTATGATAATCTATTTGTTTTTGTGCATCAACAGTATTATTATTTTTGTTTTTAGTTGTTCGGGAATTGAACGTACGTTACAAAAAATTCTGCCAACTTTGCCAAGATTCCAAACAACAATGCGATTTAGCAAAAGTCAAACGAATGAATTTCATATCTGCTGACAAAATATTGTATTTCCATGCTGTCAATGATGTAAGAAACTTTTTCCATTTTTTTATGTTTTTTTTAATAGTCTTTCAGAAAAACATAGCCACTTTCTTGGTTACAATCATTCCAGCATCGTTTATGAATATGCTTGCCATCGCACCTCTGATTACCTTGAGTATGTTCGAAAATTCAAATTCTGCAGGGTATATTTATTTGAGAAAGGATTGCTGGACTCTTCCCAGTCGTAGGGTGGTTCATGTAACCTCTGGTCAGTTACGGCTTCCTTCACCATCAAGACCATACATCTGAAAATAATAATTGGCTAACTAATCCAATACCCGACACATACTTGTAACCGGAGAATAGGGCATGTTACACCATATGATTAAGTTCCCCTATCAATTTTCCTCTCTTCGGGGATAAATATGCAAATCATAAACAATCATAAAATGACTGAATGCCTCCTGATATTGTCGTTCACATCTTTCTCCCCTTGTTGAGTTCCATCATTTTTGGTGAGCACACGAATGATTTTGTTTGATTTGGCCCTCCAATCAAATATCATATTACTATTTCTTCCATGTTCCAAATGTAATTACTGTCATTCTTTTTTTCCAGTGCCGAACTGCAGCATTGGACGAGGTGTTTGAGGGAAATTCAGTGCAATGTATGAAGAGATACAGAAGAGCTTTATTATTATTGGAAGGAATGTCACTTTGTACTAATAGTAATTTGGACAGAACTAGGCTATCAAAATGTAAGTATCTCTTTGGGGTTAAATAATATCTCAGGTTCAAATCCGATGCCCACTATCTCATCCAGTGTGTAATAAATTGGGTAGGGAACGGCAAACTGGAAGGATTCTAGTTCCTCCAAAAATATTAGCTCCTCACATATCGGTACATATCAGTGGCTGCTTGTACGGTGCCTTGTTCAGAGCGAAATGCGTTATATATATATATAAAAAAAAATCTCATATCTTGATATATCTCGTGTATATCTATGATTAAATAAATTCATTTTTTTTTATAATATTACATTTTTATTTTATTTTCAGATAAACGAGGCATCGATCACAGGTTGAAACATCTTGAACAGGTGTGGGCCTCATCAATTCATGACCAATTGCCGCAGTAAATGTCATTAGATCATGCTTGGTCAAGTGTACTTTTTTCTAATTCCCGAATATCGATCGAATGATGAAAGGATTCACTATCAATGAACTAACAACTGAGTGCTAGCAGACTTGTTGACGATTCCATGGTTCAAATGATTACCCATCACTTGATATTTATTAGTTACCATACAGCCTTTTTGTTAGCCAAGCCTAACAAAGATCATCCCTTTTCGGCAAGGTTGAATTTTTCTCAATTGAGCTTTGAATAATATGGAGACTGCCATGATTTTTTTTTATCAAAACTGATCTTTCCTTTTTATTGTATCATTTCCTTCTTTTCTTATTTTGAAATGTACTTTATGAAATTTTGTTTTTTGATCTGATTTTTTTGTATGATTGCGATAACTGTATTCTTTTTTTTTTTGATTAAGCATTGTTTGATTTTAGAGGTATTACCACAGCACCCATATAAAGAAACAAAAAAATAACATTCCAAAATTTTTGCAAAAATTTGAATATGTGGTGGAAATTCGAATTTGGTGAAACCTGGACATTCAGATTCTTTTCGTGAATTTAAAAACAAGATGTGCTTTAGTAAGAGCGATAAGTCCGTGTAAAATTGTGCCTGCCCAAGTTTTGGTGAATTTTTTCACGCTCGCTGTGTTATATTCAGTGCCCTCTGATACTACATATTATCGAATATTTGGTCGTGTATCGTGCCGTGGTCTTGTCTCTGTTATCTTTATTTCTCTTGTTACCACCACCTTCTTGTAAACTATTGTATAGTATAATGTGCAATGTGTTTTATTTTGTTCATATTTAATATTGTTTTGCACGTTTTTTTGTTATTTTGGCATTTCTCCCGTTTGAACAGGAAGTTACAACATAGCTTAGTTGTCACTATGCTTTTTGAAAAACAGGTAGGATTTTAGGCAGAATTAATAATTCTATAGCTATTAAGATTTGGTTTGTTAGCACAGAAATTTTGCTGTCAGAAGGGTTGTTTTTCTTTGATTAGACTTTATTTTTGCTTATCCAGTCTAAATCTTTATCATCTTGATTATATATAATCAAATTAATTTTTTTTCGAAAAAAATATTAGTTCTATTATACTTTTCCAATGGCTGGGCATAGTTGCATCATTCAAAACCATTGACCCCAATGGTCAGGTTATGAAATCTTGAAATTCTATTTCAGTTATTTTTGTTGAGTTTTATGTCATGCTTGTCATTGATGAAAAAATATATATGTATATCGCTGGTGCGCTTTCTTTTAAACTTAATATAAATAATTATTACGCTCGGTCAATGAAAGTAATAAATAATTAAAAATTAAACATTTCTTATTATATAGCAAAGTTGATATGAATAGTATCCTGAAATTTAGATACTGACTGGCATTTAGATTTCAAAAATACATTCAAGATTTATAGACTAAAATGAATTTGACATGATCCTCATAGACGAATTCTCCTTAATACAGAACATATTAATAAAAGCAATCTGCTGTTACTCAAGGCATGACCGAAATTTTTTCTAATGCAATTGTTAAAATTTTGTTAGCACATTCATATTTAATAGCAGTTATCAAGAATTCAATAAATAGGGTTTGAAAATTGGACAAGTACTATCCGGAAATATATATGTTGGTATAGTCAATAGTGTAGTAGAATCATAACTTATATAACATAAGAACACTCATGATAACTTTCTATTATTAAAGATTTAATAATAATTAACAATCTTGAATTTTAACCTAAATTTTTTTGGTACAAAGATCTTTATTTTTATGAACCTCAACCGTTTTAGGTAAATTTATCATTTCTTTTTATTGTTGTTTGTAATATTATTATATTTATATGTATATACTTGTGTCCATTCTGTCTGTAGATTTTTGTTCAGAAATAAAACTAAATGCTCAATACTTATGAAATCTTTGTATTAAATATTAGTTGTTAAAGAAGGTGGTATAGGGCATAGGCATTATAGTTAGGATTTTACCATACGTCCCGGTTCAGCCGGGACAGTCCTGATTTTTACAAATTGTCCCGCCGTCCCGGGCGGTAGACCTAAATGTCCCGGCTATTTAGTATGACTGTCATAATTATTTTTATTAGATATCAACACAAATTTTTTTTTTAACTGTGGCAACCGATTTACCACTGATTTGCAACTTTACTAAATCAGATAGAGAGAGAGAAATTATCATGTCATAGTTATGTATGAACCATACGTTAATTTAACGCCCAACTGTACTGTCGTTAAATCATCAAAATGCCAAAAACAAAGTGCAAGTTTTCTAATGAGTTGAAGGAAGGTTTCCTCTATTGAAGCAAAGATCAATAGAGGATATTTTTATAAGATCTACAGCTAACTTTGTTACTCGGGATCGAACTAAGATCTTTCCAATCTACACTGTCCCATTTTTTTGCTTCATATATATGGTGAGCTTAATTATAGTTATAAGTTAATCATGATTCATGCGGGAAGTGCAATGTTATCACTAGTGTACTGAGGAGAGGGGCGCCGAGCTGGGACGGTTATCATGACGTCACTTTTTCTGGCACCATGTCGATTTATTATCTTGTTTTTTAATTTTAGTTATCACCAAACCTAACTGCAATTTTTTGGTTATGGGTGTTTCAAAACCCAATTATTACGTGACAAAACATTTTGTTGAAATCCAATATGGAGTCAGACTAACTTTTCCCGATTTGTAAAAAACGATATGATAAAATGACGTCGCAAATCTTCAACTCTCAAAATTCTTTTTATCGAGCCCAGCAAGCCACTTAACGCCATTGACCAATATATCACCAATTGTCAAATTCGGGCCCAAGTGGACAACGTTCCACAGCATTTCAATGATGCCGACCGGGAGACCATAATTACTTCGATTCAGTTTCCCATATATTCGGATACGAAGCATAAAATTTTTCATCTAAATTTCCCATCCGCCATAACACAAAACAGTATGAGAAAATTATGTATATATTAAAGCATACTATGGGCAGAAAACGATGTGCAAGCATGTTCTACAAAAGAATATATGATTAGTAGGTTTATGACAAGTTACAGACAAAGAACTGATGTAAGATATTCAGCAGGAAATCAATCGTTTGCTAATGCTTATCTGTCAATTAATATTGCTATGACATAGATGGATACCATCATTCTTTTTGCAAAATATCTATAAAATACGTTTACAGTTAAAATCAATTGCATTATATTATATGGATTGTACCATGGGTCGTCTTCAAATTATCATATGATAAAATAAAATTAGGTTATTCAGTAGGGATGTATACAACATCAGAAGAAACACAATTTTTGAATAAATGATTTTTATAATGAGGCAGAGTCTGTTTACAAGACTTCTCGCAGCAAATTAGTACTGTATTACAGTATGTCTCACATTGTGAAACGCAATAACAAACACTACCGTAATCATTAATACAAAGAAATTATCATCGTGATGTAGCGAAGTCTACGCAGTTGATTGCTTCACTCTTGTTTGTGTGTCTTTTTTTATGCTACTTGTGCGGTCTACCATTCCAGTACACCGGGTATATACTTATCAACCAGAGACTGGTAGTAAGGCTTCAGTTTCTCGACATCAGGTAAATCAGGACACTTGGTGTAGAGGTCGTATTGGCTGAAAAATACGTTTCATTTGGTTTATTTAATTTACTGATTGGAGCGGCCTCGTAATCGGTCCCGAATTTCTATCATCGTTGGGCATTCTAGTCTTGTAAGTTACAGCTGAACTGTAGCCGACCTGAACTGCGTTTGGGCGTCAACTGTCAGGTGTACGATAACGCCTTAAAGTCAATAACCACTTAATCCTAATGCAAATAGATATAAGGCTGGTTGTAATCTTTATATCGCATTAAACATCGCTCAACTGCAGACTTTTCAAACAATAACTAGTTTAATTCCATATAGATAAGCGTGCCAGACATGAAGAGACAAAAGTCAGCAAGTTACGTCAGTCGGTTTTGAGTTCAAACCGGCCAAAACTGCTAAAATATTGTGCAAGTCATGTTATACATACTTAATTGGACTACTGATGACCCCATGACGGTGCTATGGTTTATAATATCAGCTTGGTAAATATAATGTTGACATGCTGACTCTTGATATTTAGAGGTCAATAGGATAAGCAGTTTCGTGATCGACGTTGACCTAGACTAGATCAACCAAGTGGATATGATGTCATTTTTTGAATCAACACTACTATCGTGAAATCCTATTTTATCGAATAGTGCAGGGGTCGGCAACCTTTTGTCGCTCGGGGTCCAAAATTATGGGTTGCAAGTCATTGGCGGCCCGCACATATATCTAGAAAGTTGAAAACCGAACGGGTGATACTTTTTAAAATAAAAATCAATCAGTGATACAACTCTCGAATAAAATATAGATTTATTTCCTCGTTGCGTTGCATCTCAAAAAGTGTTCCATATGAATATTTTCAGGGGCATTGAACCCTTTGCACTTAGTATCAACTTTTCTGCGTTTTGTTGCCATTTGTCTAATAATTATAATCTAATATGATTATAGGCTCATTAAACGAGTAATTGTGAATTTCATACTTGTTAGATTATAATATAATTCAGTCTACACGTGTCTCACAATAAATTCTGTTACGTAAAGAATATAATCGTTAAAAGAGCTGTTTTGTTACTGTAATTCAATGAAGCGTCGCGGGCCGAATCCAGCAAATTGTGTCGTTGACACCACACATGCCACCCTTGACATCCAAACGCTTTTTTTTTTCAATTTTTACTCATCTTGTATTGGGTATTAGTAATTGCATTTTGTGACTATGCTGGTCTCGCACGTTTCTGTTTGTGAAGATTTTATAGAAAATGGGGCACAGTGCGTTGTTTAGCGCTATTCGATCTGAGAACCGACCACATAATTGTAAATGGAGTTATATGTGCAGCAGCCTATATTCCCTCACTTGAATTCTCTGATCCATTCCACCATCTTCGTGTCAGTTTCATTGCATAAATGATGATAATCTCTTCCAGTATGCCACGGATAAAACGAATGAAATCTCACACAATAAAGAGCTTCTTCCGGCAGCGTGGTATTGTTATGCATAAGAACCTGGTACATATATTCTAAAGAAAATGAAAACTGTAATTGATAATTTTGACCTCGAAGTATTCGCCTCTGTTATCTAAATACCTCGAGTTTTCAAAATTAAGCTTGAGTTGTGTATTGCCAAATTCAATTTGACCAAAGTCAAATCGCTGTCTTGCGTCGCTTCAATCTTTTTATCTGAGTATGGCCATATACAACCAGCAAACCGCACGTAGTAGTGCATATTAAAAAGACGTTATGTTTTAAAATTATTGTAACCGATGACCTTACCTAGTATACGTTATATAAATTACATTAATATATGAAAACCCTCTTTTGCCGTGTAAAAAACGGTTTCATGAGATATACAAAAAGGCGCATCGTCACGAATGCTTATCATATCTTACCATCATGACCCCATGACATCAGAACATTATTTAGGCCACAACCTGGCTTGTACATTCCGTACTTTGTACTGAAACACAAAATGAAATTTCGTTTCGTGCATTCTAGCCTAATGTTCTTGGAAATTTGAATCGTAACTCCTTTGTGTCGTTCTGCACTACTTTTCAATGATTAATTTTGAGGACGCTCGTAACATATATATCATCAGGAAATACGCCGTGCTTGGTGTACATTCGAATACCCACAGGATTTCACAACAGAAGGTTTATACATGATCTCATTCAATGTCATTTATTTTATCTATTCCTACGAATCACTCACAGACGGGGCAAAAAATCTTCGGTCAAGTTTTCGTCTTACTATACACTTACTTGTATCTTGAGTCATCGAGATCAGGATTTTTCACGAATGTTGAGTCAGAGTACACGATCGACTTGGCGAACTCGCACCCGACAGGGAACGTGTCTCCAACTACACAATACTGATCTTCACCCCAGATTGCCATCATTTTTCCCAGATCGTGAATGAGACCAACAAGGTGAAACCAGTCTGGAAAATTTGTATGAATGAATGTATACGAATGCTGAAAAGAAGTTTCACAGTACCGGTAGTCTGAGCACAATACCCGTGAGATGTGATTGAGGAAATACAGCACGGTGCGCAATTGTTAATTTGATGACATCACATTAAAAAACTTCAAAGTAAAAAAAGAACCCGATAGAGCCCACAAATATTTAAAAAAAGTTATTGCACTCTAGCGATAACAACAAGCCTTAACCTCAGAAATGTAGGTGAATTATTTGTTGTAAATGGTGAATGCCTTCAGATATTTAACTATTTTCTATTACGATACTAAAGCTTCATTAAGCGGAGATTTAGCGCATTAAATGTAATTTCTGGCAACGTTTTTAAGAAGAATTAATGAAAAACTTACTTTAATAAGTCATCGACACCGATAACCTTGCTAGAATCCCCATTTAGATTGTAAAAAATGCAACTAGAGAGTTCATGACCTATATAACGGAAGATAGTCCACAACCGACGAATAACTCACCTTTATCCGGATGCTTTTTTCTGATTCCTTCGGCGGTTTGATAGGCATGGAAAGAGTTGGGAAAATCAACCTAAACAATAACGTTTCTTGTCTTATATAGCGTTGAAGACTCCCCGAATAGAAGTAACTTGATAGAATATTTGTCACTGTTTTGAATTATGCTCAGCACCATTACGGCGTTTGCGAAGTATGACAAAAAGATATTCTAAATATTTATTTCCGTGAATGCAAGCGGTTCATGACGAAGGTTTTATGATCAAACGATATCTTTTATAAGTGTGACCATGCGTTCCGGATTGACGTCAATCGATCCAATAAAATAATATGTTACAATATTCAAAATTTTAAACGTGCTTTATTCGATTATATCTTTGTATAATGAGGGATATTTGTTCAATTGGGGTAAAACGATGGCAATATATATCGCAACCATACTAAACTGAATTATATAAAAATTCGAATCATTTGTCTAATTCATATAAACGAGGACTTCACTTTTACAAATTATCGGAGCAGAAATATAAACAATGCAAACTCACATCCGGATCGCTTTCGTCAACCAGTCCATTGAGATCTTCCAGAGCCTCCATGATTGTTTTCTTTCCGTGATCAAATTTCAACCATTTTTTGTGCTGTAAATATAATTAAAAGACGTCGTACACATATATTCAAATTGTCATCCGAATATCGAGTCGTGTTGGAGACCTATATCGAGTAAATTTCTGACGGTTAGTTGAGTACGAGTTATTTTTATTTACATTAGTCGAGTCATTGATAAATGGCGACTCGAGTCCAACATGAGTCGAGTCATAGATTCGAGCTTCCCCAATACATCAAATTGCTTATAGTTAAGAATGCTACGGCACATAAAAGTTAGCAAGCAGGCATTCTGATGTAAGTAATTATGATTTGTGGTCGTTGGTATTTTTAATTTCACATACATCAAACGAAAGGACATATAATTTCTCAATATATATATATTGAACTACCAAGATGCTACCTAATTATCAAGCAAAGCAAACAATTACTTTAATTCTTACGTCTTGCATATAGCCAAGGAAAAATTGGGAGTAAAATACCATACACGTATTATTATATTAGCGCACTAATAATTAATTGAATACCTTTCCAAGAACGAAGTCAACGCACTGATTGGTGTGCATATCCGTGTATGTTTTGTATACGCGATCAAATAGGTTCCCTTTCTGTATATAATAAATTGGGTATAACAAATATGAGTTTCTAAGAATAGTGTGCATGGCTAATGATAATAAAATCGATTTTATTCGTTTATCTGAAACAAATTAGTCATTCGTATGACAAATGTACAAAAAATCACCGAAAAAAATCTTAATACATATATGATACTATGGACATTTATTTAACGATTTAATCAATCAGTGCAAAGATTATTGATTCAGATGTAGCAAGATTGATTAGATTTGTTCACAATTAATCGAATCCTTAGTCGAGACGTAACTACAAAACCTGTTCTCGAGTAAATATGATATTTTAAATTCACTTAGACTAATTTAACTTACTGACGAAAAATTTCGGTATCCTTCTTCCTCACAATCGTTCTGCCATTGTGTTGCTTCGGGCCGATGAATCTCAGATGGGTCAATAATTGCAACGCCAGACTAAAACGATTGTATATTATATGTATTTCAATGGTAAATCAGACATAACATATTTCATATAATGACTTTTAGCTAAACATAAGCCATGAGCGTATAATACATTTTTAATCAGCATTTACATGAAAAGAAAGTTATTATTCATATTTTTCTTAACGTATTATCATTTCCTGTCGATATAGATTAAAAGTTGGCTACATGCGCGACGCGCGATTTCTATCTATACCAAATATAGTATCATATGTATATACATACAATATTTTAGACGTAATATATTACTTACCGACATGATGTTCGTATGCCTGGTGATGAATACACAAATGCTCACAGAAATGATACACTTAGAATTTACTATGGCAATGCACAAAAGAATTAAAATTTAATAATGAATATAAAATTTAGCACGGAACGAACATCAACGTGCACGAAATAACTCAGCGACTTGACGTCGCCCGGGGCACGGTCTTCAGGGATAGCCGTTTTAAACCATGACTTGGCGAGTTATCGTCTCTTAAATCGACTTGCCAAGGGAAATATTTAAAATTCTCTTTAGCCAATGTAATTTAGTAATTTCTATGATTTTACAACTGTACGTGGCTATTATTTGAATACTTTCATTTTATTCGGTTGAAACGATCAATTAGATGCATGAATTTGTACCGAAAAAATTGTACATGAATATATATTATTATTCATACTCATCGTACTTGCGATTTCGTATGCCTGGCGGTTACAGAGGGACATTGTACCTTCTTTACCAGTTCACTGTAATTTCATAAAATCGCGAATTTCATCATAGCCTCTAGTCTACCCCTTCAGAAGTGCACGGTAAACTTCAGTCTCAATACTGTTATATTTTATACTCGTCTAATGTATAATCGAGTTAAAGGCGACTATGCGTCGCCGATACAAAAATACTTGAAAAAGAAGTATGTGGAATAAGTCACATTTGCTTCTCTCGAAATGACTAGACGTAACAGAACAATTGCACTCTGACTAAGTTATACTGCACTGTCTAAAGCAGTTTACACCAGCTCTTTCAGCAACGATACGCGTGAAGTTGCCCAGAAACAACCCATATAACATTCTAGCTTTACTCCATTTAATAAACAAAGCCGTGTATGACACACCTCCGTTCACGGCGATTTGTATGAACTGGTTGAGACTAGTCCGTTCAGTTTGTGGGCGTTGCTTGGGCTAGATCGTGTACTATTGGTTTGTGATCCGCCATTCAAACGGAACCTTTGCAAAGCGATGTCCGAGTTCGCAGCCTCGACACCGTCAGCAAACAAGGGATGGTTCTCAAAATAGCGCAAAGGTCATATTAAAATATTATGCGCTTTCTGGGACATGTTTACGTGAGTACAAAAATGGCGAGTAGGCTAGGACTAGGCTACAAGATAAACATGGCACTGAATAAATTCAGCTTCACCAAGATGAGATAAATGTCTGAGAAAAATGTTGCGTTTCATGGACAATAAATTTTGAAATTGTAGTTGAAAATAGGATAATTGTATCAAATTATGGTACTCTGACAGTATGGTCATTTTACCTTATGCCTCCACTGAAATGCAGCATATTTCATTTACTTCAATTTCTACAGCAAGTACAAAAATTTAGCGTCGCGTCGACTAAATGAATGTCTCATTGAATAAACGATCGAGTAATCGTCTAAAATAGGTAATTTCGTCAGAAATGGAGCTCTTTAATGTAGTCATTTGACTTTCGTGTCTACATTATTTTAGGGTTGACAGAAATTTTTCGTAAGATAGCGCATGCAAACTGATTTCCGTTTTTAAAATCGCCATTTCATGCCAAAATGTTTAGCAGTTGGCATTGAAGTACTGAAACCTGATTTACATGCTTAGCCTATCCCCTTTTTGAGGCCGTTCATGATTACTGCAACTAAACTAATCAATCACAAAATAGCCGTAGAGCTACCACATGTGTACAACTATTTTGCAAACATACCTTAGATCAGGGGTCGCGACCCCAAATTGGGTCGGAGTGATAAGTAGGTAGGGTCGCAAACAGGTCATGGGGTCAGTGAGGTATTGTAGAGGATAGATGTGCAAAACATCTAAGATTTGACAAACCATGTTGTATTTAGCAGTTTGTACTGGACACTTGAAAGTTGTCTTTGGGGTCGTTCTGAAAAAAGCTTGGGAACCTCTGCCTCAGATCTAACTTATAACGCTCAAAACAGCGAAAACGAGTCAATCATCATGAAACGTCAACAATCATGAGTAAAAATCTGGCTGCATGAAAAGATGTCGGCTGCTTGATTTCAAGGTACGGTTGTATTCTTCATTAGGCATCATTACAGAAATAAACATGCGAGTCGATACTCAGTTACTGTCGAGGTGCCCACGTTTTAAACACACGTAGGGGAGATGCGGGTGACTTGAGCCGCGAAGAGACTTGTTCGCTCGCGCGCTCTCTGTTGGTAGGTTGTGTCATTACTTTATATTTGAGTGTGAGAAGCAGACGTTCTGTAGCTCTGGTGAAAAACAGTTAATGGAAAGGCCGGAATCGCAGCAAAAAGTAGATTTCATGGTTGCAGGTAATATGTTTACTATTAATAATATCACAGGTCGTGGTTTAGTCACATTGTGTCATTCTGTAGTCTATGCTGTGATGCTCTAATACAGTGGTTCCCAAACTTTTTTGACCATCGCCCCCCTACAGTAGCTTATACCAGTGGTCGGCAACCTTTTTCAAGTGACGGACCGGTAAAAGCATGACCAAATTTTGGCGGACCACCTCCATACAAACGAACTAAGCCTATGCAATACATTATTCGCATTAGGGAATTTAGGTTGACAACGTACTAAAAACGACGGCGATGCTATTTAATGTGATATCTTTATTTGTTTAATAACCATTAATTGTTCCCATATTCGAGACAAGGTCGACATGGACACAAGTAACGTGTTTCTTACATCCAGCCTATTACGTTGATTTCGGAAAAGTTAACAATGCCTGTATCATTTTGTTGGGTTGATCTTATTCGGACTGATGAGACACATACTTATACGGAAAAAACAATTGACCCAGCATTATTGCGACATACTGACATGGCAATTGTTTATAAAGTCAGACATGATGCTCAATAGTGTTGTGTGCAGTGGTCGGCAAACTTCATATACTTGCAGGCCTAATATAAACATTTCCGGTAGCGCGCGGGGCGCAATATTTCCGCCTTCGAAAAATCGCTACATTAATTAAACTTCAAATTATGGCGCATTCGCATTGTTGCCCTCCTATTGCTGCGTTGAAAGCCTGTCCCAATGAGATGTGTATGTGGCGTTTTTTTTGATTTGTTATCCAACATTACATTGTTTTTATTTACTTATTATCAATGTGAAGGATGATGTTTTTATGGCAACTTGTCGTCCAAATGATGATCTGACAAGCGAGTACGAAATTTAATCTAAGTGTAATGCATTTGAGATAAAGCTGCTCAAGGCCATATGCTCTTCCGGACGTGCACATTACACGTTTTACACGATCGCACAGATGAGCTGTGGCGCAGTCCAGGGTCGCGGGGCAAATTTTCGACGACTCGTTTCGTAACACGAGTTTAATATTGAAACCCCAACTGCGATGCTGACTGGGCATATCGAGCAACTCGGTTTTGGAATGCGTAGGAAGGAAAAATATTTTCCCGTTCAAGCACTTTGGAATGCTCGTCGCTCCGTTTCCCAGACATTTTTAAATTTTAAAAATCCAAATTAACTCGAACGACGTACAACTGACGCTACTTGTTACAACAAGCGCAGTCGCAGTCAGCAGTACTTGTCGCCACACAAATCCATGTAGAGACAATATTAAATTTGGTATTAATTTTTTGTTTTATGTATTAAATTTCGGGTCGTTCGAGGGCCGCAACAAATTAGCTCGCGGGCCGCATTTGGCCCGCAGTTTGCCGACCCTTAGTGTTGTGTTTGTCTGGTTTACTGTTGGGTGCTGTTTTTTAGTCGTAGGGCTTGTGGTTAGATTGTAGAGGTTTTATTACGGCCTTGTCCGTTTTTGGTCACCTCTCTGCGGACCGACAGTAACCTTTCCGCGGACCGGCGATGGGCCGCGGCCCGGTGGTTGCCGACCACTGGCTTATACAACTTCATCGCCCCCCGGCACTACAAAAAAATGTAAAGTCAGAAACGAATATATTACAGGCCAAAACGGAAGACAAAACATAGCTTATATTGTTTTTAATGAGATGGATGAGCTTGATGTCCTTCAGCGAGTTTTTTATTATATCTAAAATTACCCCGTTTACAGATGGAAAGGCGATTTCGTTGTTTTGGTAGCAATAGTAGCACGGCTGAAAACCCTTTTTTCACCATATAATAGGTAGGAAATGATGAATCCAGGGTTCTACCTCCTCAAAAACCGCCGTGTACTCTTGCCTCACAGCATTTCACTCCCTAAATTCACCCCATTTCACATTAAAATAATTAAAACAAAAGTAATTTTCCCAAACTTATAATAATGATTTTCGTACATCTCATTCATTCCTACAGCCTGATGACCTGCACCAAAATACTTCGGTAAATATCATCCCCGATTCCTTATCCTACCATGGCCTCCAGTCCATAGAATTAATTAGCCTTTTGTTTTTGGATTCCTGGACTCGGATGTGGAAGATGCCGTAACCAACTACTGTATCGTGAATCTCTCGAATAGAATATAAATTTTATTTCCTTATTGCATTGCATTATATATATTCGAATATATACTGCGCTATTGAACCCCTGCCCTCAGCATCAACTTTTTTCGTGATTCCATTTGTCTAATTATAATTAATTAAATTGTAGGCTCGTTACACAAGTAGCTGTTCGATAGAATTTTCAGGATATAATAAAACTTAGTCTAAACGTGTCTCACGATAAATTCTGTTACGTAAAAAATGTAATTTATTCCTCGAGCGTAGATTATGGGTTATATTAATTCATCGTCAAAACCGCCATTTGGATGTTTCTCCGGGCACCTCCTTGTTTACTTCGTGACATTGGCCAATCAGCACGATGCAAATGTCCTCTTTCGCATCCGCTCAGACACACTCTCTCAGACAGACTTTCAGGCGTGACGTGAACATTACCCCATTTTCGCGTTTTTGAATTATATTCGTTAGTTTTTATTTGTTTTTCGGAAATTTATATATAAATCAAATAAGTCAATGATTACTTTGTCTTCCTATGAGTTTCAGTTTAAATACAGTAATCAAAATTTAGTGTAGAAATAGCTGTAATAGACTAGGCTAAACTTCTTCATCGGTATTTTTTAAAAACAGATTGTTGGATGGTATGAATTAGAATGATAGTTTGAAACAAATTACCCCATTTTACAGGCAACAACTCGCGAAACCACTCTTAAAATAAGCACCGAAAATTTTAAAATGGTAAAGTATAGGAAGAATTTTCCGCAGTCAAAGGTCGG